AAGACAAGAGAAAGACATACAAGGAATCCAAATAGGAAAAGAAGAAGTCAAACTATCACTATTTGCTGATGATATGATAATATACATAGAGAACCCCAAAAACTCCACAGAAAAACTAATTCAACTCATCAATCAGTTCAGTAAATTGGCAGGATACAAAATCAACACACGAAAGTCAGTAGCCTTCCTATACACAAACAATAAATCTGAAGAAGAAGAAATAAAAAAAATCCCTTTTATTATCGAAACAAAAAAAATCAAATATTTGGGAATAAATCTAACAAAAGAGGTAAAGGACCTATACAAAGAAAACTATAAAACACTGTTAAAAGAAATAGAAGAAGACACAAAGAAATGGAAAGACATCCCCTGCTCATGGATTGGAAGAATAAACATTATTAAAATGGCCATCCTACCAAAAGCAATATACAGATTCAATGCTATTCCAATCAAAATGTCAATGTCATTCTTCAAAGAAATAGAACAATTATTGATGAAATTCATATGGAATCACAAAAACCCCCGAATTGCCAAAGCTCTCCTGAAAAAGAAAGAAGGGAATGGAGGCATCACACGCCCAGACTTCAAACTATACTACAAAGCCATAATCATCAAAACTGCATGGTATTGGAACAAGAACAGACATACAGACCAATGGAATCAAATAGAAAATCCAGAAATAAACCCACAGATTTATGGTCAACTAATCTTTGACAAAGGAGCAAAGACTATGCATTGGAGCAAAGAAAGTTTGTTCAATAAATGGTGCTGGGAAAACTGGGTCGCTACATGCAAAAGAATGAAGCTTGACCACTACCTCACACCATACACAAAAATCAACTCAAAATGGATTAAAGAACTAGACATAAGACCTGAAACCATAAAATATATAGAAGGAAATATAGGCGAAACATTACGTGATTTGCACATCAAAGAAATCTTTACAGATACATCACCCAAAGCAGTGATAGTGAGGGCAATAAACAGCTGGGACTACATCAAATTAAAGAGCTTCTGCACAGCAAAAGAGACAATAACAAAAACAAAGAGAAACCCCACTGACTGGGAGAACATTTTTGTACCAAACACTAGTGATAAAGAACTGATCACAAAAATCTGCAAAGAGCTGATGAGACTCAACAACAACAAAGAAAATAACCCAGTCAAAAAATGGGCAGAAGAGCTAAAAAGAAACTTCTCTGAAGAGGAAATGCAAATGGCCAACAGGCATATGAAAAAATGTTCAACATCACTTGCAATCAGGGAAATGCAAATCAAAACTACCATGAGATACCATCTTACACCAGTGAGAATGGCACATATTAAAAAAACTAGCAACAACAAATGTTGGCGAGGTTGTGGAGAAAAAGGAACTCTCCTGCACTGTTGGTGGGAGTGCAAACTGGTCCAACCACTATGGAGAGCTGTGTGGAGATTTCTTGACCTACTAAACATAGAGCTTCCATATGATCCAGCAATTCCACTCCTAGGTATTTACCCAAAGGACACAGAAACATCAATTCCAAAGAGCACCTGCACACCTATGTTTATAGCAGCACTGTTTACAATAGCTAAGCTTTGGAAACAGCCCAAATGCCCAAAAATAGATGACTGGATCAAGAAGATGTGGTACATATATACCATGGAATATTACTCAGCATTCAAAAAAGATAAACACATGCAATTTGCAGCAACATGGATGGCACTGGAAGGGATCATGCTCAGTGAAATAAGCCAAAAAGAAAAAGAAAAATACCGGATGGTCTCACTCATAGCAGGAATCTAGAAAACTTAAATAAGGGACCAGGAAAATGAATAACTATAAGAAAGTGAAAATCAAAATCAACAAAAAACTATGAACCAGAGACACTTTTTAGGGGATAGGGGGTGGGAGGGGAGGGATTGGGGTCAGAATGGGGGGGTTGCAATTGTATGGGGAATATAAAAATAAAATTTATTATTAAAAAAAAATTTAGAAAATGTTTTACTACCTTCAGAGGATATTGGAACCAAGACTAGATATGTTTATACAGATACCTTTGAAAGCCTACAAGCCTTCAACTACAATGTGCCCATCCTCACAAGCCCCAGTGATTATGTCTCACTTCCACAAACTATTTCTTCATAGTCATGATGTAGGATATGGGGAAACAAAAGTTGGTTTTTATGATAGCAACCTTGCAGGACTGCCATTTGATGCCTAAATACCTTCTTTCCTGGCTTGTGTCTGCTTGAGAACTGAAGCAGTGCATTCCAATAAATTTACCAGGTAAGGTAAACTTGATTTGGATGTTTACTCTGACTCTTGGACTTTGGGATTTAGAACAAGTTTCTGGCCCTTGTCATGTTTTAGTAAAAAAAAGCCCTAGATTTATATGCTTATGTTCTTCCTGGTTAAAGGACAACAATGCTGTTTTTTATGCTACATATGTATGTATACATACATGTATATTTTACCTGATCCAGAATCTCACATTGTAGTATCACTTGACTAAGGTGATATCTGCTGATTTCCCCTCTGTAAATGTCCCTTTTCACGCTTTGTATGGACATGTTGAGTTATGGCGGGTGAATCAGAGCTGTGATGCTGGATGGGGTGGTAGGAGGGAAATGACAAGGGTGCTCTGTAGAGTAATAAGGAGAGACAATTGAAGAATAAGTAAATATTTCATTTTGTTGCCACTGGTTGGTTTCAGCATCCATTGCTTGTTCTTGTGGTTGAAATAGTGATATCTAACTGTAGTTTCTTCCATGTTTATTAGTTATTCTAAGACTGTTCTCTCCCCCACCCCCTTTATTTGTGTGTTTGGTGTCAGTATGACTCAAGGAGTTGGGATTTTTAAGGATTCCACATGGCATGATCTATTACTCTCTTTTTTCCCACTTTGTATCACCCCAGGTTTGGCCACTCATAGCCCCAAGATACTGGGTCTTTCATCAGAGGGTTTTTTTTTGTGTAAATAGTTAAAAAATAACAGATTTTTTAGAGGACACTTGGGAGAAATGAGAAAGGTGAATTAGGTTGGTGATTAGGAAAGACTTCAACGAGGAGATGGTATTTGAAGTAAGTTTTGAAAACTAGGTAGAATTTAGACACGAATGGGGATGAGGTGAAATGGAATGGATAACAGTCTGAATGAAGTTAAGTCTGGAATATTTGGTGTCTGGCAAGTCATAAAGTGGGTCCAGAGCATGATCAGGAAGCTGAAATGAGATACCCACTTTCTTAGTCACCTTCTTGCATTCCCTGTGCTGGTTTCACTACTTAGTAATTCCTCCCTCACCCCACCCTTCCATTTTGTTAAGGCCTGGGATGAGGTGTGAGGGAGGAGGGAATTCTAAGTACTGAAAACTGCACCAGGCAAAAGACGATTCAAATGTTTTCTACTCCTGGAAGTATTTTCAGGGTTTCTAATGAGAATTAATCACTTTCTCCTATTCTGTCTTTTGCTGTTTCTATTTGGGGATATATCATTCTTTATAGCATGAAGCACATGTTAGTCACTTGCCCCTCTTCCCAATCAGTATAACACTCAAATGTTTCTTAAATATGTTGAGAGAGAAAGGAGAGAGGATAGCTGGCTGCTGGGTGAAGGAGGCTTTGAATGGCATGTTAAGGGGTTCAGATTTGCTTCCCTGGCAGCAAAAAGCCATAGCATGACTGATAAGACCTATAATGCAGAGGATGTGATAGAAGACAAGGAGGACTAGGGTGCCCCATAAAATAGTGCCAAACAACCTGTCAGAATGAGACAGCCAGGAAAGGCAGGACACATGGGAGCAAAAAGTCATTGTTTTGTCTATCTGGGTAATCATTTGAATGTGGGCATTCAAATAGGGCAGGAATAGAACATGGCTTTGAGGTTTCAAGACTGAGTATTAGGAATCCAGAGAGACCTCTCGCCAAAATAGGGAGCTCAGGGTCATTACAGAGACTGTAAGGCGTTCAACGTGATCCTAGACTTCCTTATCCAAACTCTCCCTAATTCAAAATTGTATGTGTTGTTGAAAGATTTAGTGAAATAAATTATCTTAAGAACTTAAGTATTATCGCTACTTGAGGCACAAAAACTGACTTTGGTGCAGTGGACATTTTTTCATTGTCTTTTAGTAATGGTTTTATTAAAAACTGGTGTTAGTAACTGCTTTTTAAACCTTGAAACATGGCCCTCTCAATGCAGTTTATCATCAAAGAAATGTCAGTGCTCAGCTTTCTTTTGGCTCCTCTGTCCCTGCTGCCCCTTCCTAACAACAGAAAATTTGCTTTGCACCTGCTCCACTGGGTCCTAAGTGATAAGCATCTTGCAAGCCCAGAAAATTGTAGTATCAAATCTCAGCCCCAACTGTGAGGCAGCACTATCATCGAATCCCTGTTGAGAGGCTAAGAGGCATTGCTTTCCCAATTCCCAGGGGGAGTTCTTTCTCTCCTGGCTCCTTTTCAGGCTTGAACTCTGACCTAAACCCTCCCTTTAGCTCCAGCATGTTTTGCTCTGGGTGCTGGTCCTGACCCAGCCTGGCCCTGCCTTCTTTCTACTTACCTGGGCTCATCAGCAGCTTGACCTGGTAGCCTTGGGGCCGTTGGAGTGTCCAGTTCCAATAACCAGCATATTTATCTAAGGGAAGGAAATGGGCCTTTCTATTTGTTACAGCCCATTGCTTTTCCTCTGAGAAACAAATGCTAAGGAACATTTGATTTATTATTTGTGATTTGGTAAATATACATAAATATTTGCCTAATATTCTAAAGTTGCTTTCATTCACTTCTTCATGTGTTACCTTCTTTGTTAAAAGTGGTTATTTTAAGAGGGATATGCCCATTTTGCTAGCAGGAAAATGTAAATATTTTAAAATAATGCTATACTTAGAAAAACTCTTATTAGAATTTCAAGTAAAAATACCAAATCCTATTTACAAGGAGTATAACATTCTGACTACAGTATGTGATTTTAAAGGAAAAAGAAATGCTAACCAACCTTCCATAACTTTGTCTTTGTTCTTAGGTTTTTCAGATAGACCAAAGTCATTAAAGATACTACTAAACCCCCAAAGCCACAAAAAAGAAGCTACCCAGGTCTATTATGGGAAGGTTGAGCCACTATTGAAGATTGCAGGAATTAAGACTGATGTAACAAGTAAGTCATTTTCAGACTATAATTCTGCCATTAACAAAAAAAATCATGCTTAAGGAAGCAAAATAAACTAAATTTGTTCTTAATCAAATTTAGGATACTCTGTAATACCTAATGCTTTTTGAAAAAAGTTTGCTTTCATAACCTATTGCAGCCAACTCTTTTAAGATTATAATTTAATTATTTTGTTTTCATTTTCAATGTTTTCACTTGACCTTTTTAAAAACTTCAAAAATCATTAGGTTTTAAAGCAAGCTGCATACTTTTTGATATCTTCATTGAGATATTTGCTATTTACACATTATTTCCACAGTCTAACAAGCAATTGATGTTTGTTCACTTGAATGTTTGATGTTCTTCCATGAAATCCTTCATTAGGTGGTTTTTGTTCTAACTCTGACCCCTGCTGGTTAGGTCAAAACTAAGCACTTAATTGCTGGTTGGAAATGAATTTAGCAAAACCAAAAACTTAAAATTCATTCCAAAATAAGAAAAGCACTTAGATTGTGGTAAGGCAAATAGAAATTTGGTAATGCTACAGTTAATGGAAAGATTAGTAAAATCCTTTTCAACTTTTTGAATTTAGTGATCAAATTCCTTTGTTTTCTTGAGACTGAATTTTCTTATGGGAATGGATTGGAAAAGGCGGGTTGATGTTTTCCAGAATCACATCCTCAATTTTTGTGCTTTTAGTTCTATGTAGTTTCACTAGCACAGTGCAAATTTGTAGTAAGTATTAATTGATGAAGAGAGTTGCATAATAAACCCATGCCGGAAACAGAGCAGAGAGCAATTGAAATCTCCTAGTCCAGTTATAAATTCCTGGGGAAGGGATTCAGAGTGATCTGACTTTGTTTAGCTGTAAGCTAGGGAGATGCATCTCACAATATAATAAGTTTATCGAAGTTCACACCTCATGACTTAATGGATTGGGATAGAAAGAATTTCCTAAAAAGAAAAGGCAGTCTTCGTGAAAAGTAAACGATACCAGGAGACATATACTATAATGGAAGTCCAAGAGAAATTGCCCTAAAAGATTCTAGAGGAATTACTGAATTAAAAAAAAAAATGTAGTGAAGGAGTCAGCATTTCAGCATTGTGATACTTGGCTTACTTAAAGGTGATCAATAAAGAAAAGAGATAATTCAGATATATCATTCCTTTCCACTAAAGTTTTCCAAAACTCAGCAGAAGGAAAAATTTGAAATTCATGGTTGAGTGAAACAATTGAAATTTAGGTGAACTTACTAGCAAACCCAATAATGTGAATTATTTTATTTCATTGGTTTAATATCCAGAACAGTTTTATGTGGGTACTACTCCATACCATTCAAGAAAGTTGTGTTGAACGGTTTGTGTTAAGCGTTACGCAGAATGCAAGATGAATAAGCTATGCTACCTACTCTTGAGTGACTTTTAGTTTATTAGAGACCCAAATATGCATTTAAAATAACTAATTTAAGACATACATTAAAAAGCCATAATGTCTCAGAGGGTGATACTAATTTTCATCAGAAGACTCAGGAAAAGCATTTGAAATAGAAATTTTAACTGGACAGTTTAGAAAGTCAGTGAAGGCAAAAAAAAGGGGGGGTGGATTTCTGTGTAAAGACAGAAGTATGGGAAGGAAGGCATGCTAGTAGATACATACAAAGGGAGGGTGTCTGTATGTGTGTGTGTGTTCATTTGTCTTGGGAGTTCATTCATGACTTTGTCTTCCTCACTTTTGACTTTATCTTAATCAGTCATGAAATGATTGCCAGTGAATTGGTAAGAACTAACATACTCTAATCCTGAACAGGATTAAAATGTCTTCCTTTCAGTTTGATTGGCCTACTATAGTACCCAGGCACCACCTGGAACACACTCTCTTCTCCATCAAGATCCTTTTCATGGGCTGAGGTGAGACCCCCTTTTGCTTGAGGTGAGGATGCCTGAACTGAATCTGGATTCTATTAAGGAGAAAAGGACAAAATGGCCTCTGGGCAGGCTCCCAGCAATTTGCATTAGAGGATCTTTGTGCTGCACTCAGGAGTTTACGCATCACACATTGATCTGGAGCTGGTATAAATTTTTTATCATAGTGATGTAATCTGGTTTAGTGAAGATGACTACTCTGTCAACACAATGAAGAGTAGACAGGAAGAGGAAAGGCTGGAGAAAGGAAACTAGTACACAAGGCCTTAACTAATGTAGAGAAAATAATGAGAATGTATTTTTCTCCTTAAAACAATTGTATTGGAGAAAGAAATATGATTTAGGGTTATTTTCTTCTAAAATTACAAATGTCATAGAATCATATTTAGATTAACATAAAATTACAATACAAAACATTAAGCAAATTTAGAATTTACTTATATATTTGTGCCTAATGACTTCTTATTAGCTGCCTAACACTCCTCCTACAGGCAAAATTATAAAATTGCACTTTTCCTTAAACTATTTTTTGGGTATATATAGGCTAAATATTTATGTAAAAAAAGATTCCTATGTGTGAACACCTGAATGAGCATGGATACTTGAAGCATTTTCTAATCTTGCTAATTGCACAGTGTGGCTTTGTAATTGGAATAAGGTAATACATTTGAAACTACCTTGTATATTACAAAGTGCTCTAGAAGTAATGTCATAGATCTGGTTCAGTTTCATAAAAATATGTATTAATAAGGTCCAATTCACACTTCATTTGAAAGAAAAAATAGCTTATATGAAAGAATAAAGCAGAAAGTAGCTACTTCTGCATGTGCTGTATGACTTGTTTTGAACGTATCTTGTATACATTATTCAGTCCAAATAGAATATGAATTACATAATAAATTCTACACAATGATTCATTCCTTAGATGGCACTGTATAAATAAGACATGGTTTATGGCTGGAGATACAGATTATAAAGTAATGTTTCCATAAATTTCTTTAAAAAATGAATTTCACCTCATTAATAAAAACACACATGCTCTTTCATTTTTGGCTTGTGCCGAAACCTTGCCTACTTCAGCATCTTTTGAAATATTTGAACCAAAGTTGCATCCCCCCCTCTGCTGCCAGGACCAATGCAGCCTCTTAACTAATGGTACCAGAAAAACTTCTGAAAGAATCCAGAGAAAACAATTACTTTTTTCTGGCAACTTATCGGTATATCCGTCAAAGAAGACCTCTCATGGTAAGGCCATCTAGCATAGGATATAATTGCTTCTCTTCCTCCCCAAGTAGCATATCACTAAAGGTGTGAGAGGCATTTTGAGTGATCATAGATTCATAGGGTATTTCATGGGATAATAAAATGAAAAAAGCAAGGCAGCAGAGAAGTCAAACTAGAAAGAACTTGAGAGGCCATCTAGCTCAGTTTCGCCTGTGAGGTGGAGTGCAGATGTGTGGCACTCAGCAATGACAGCCCAGCTGGCACCCTGTAGTCAATCAGTGGATGTCATCACTGGCAGGGCTGTCACACATTCTTATCCTGAGTGATCTTGGTGCAGATTAGAAAAAGGCATCTTCTCTATGCTGACTTCATAAAAAACAAATGGTGCCCTTTCTTCTGGGCTGATTCAACGCCTGGTCACCCAGCATGTTGAGTGAGGTGTTCTGGCTGGATTGAAAACCCACCTGCTCCTTAGCTTAAATGCCTGTGTGAGGCACACACTGTACCATGTGGAGAATTAGTGAGCTAACATTTGTCTCCTTGTAATTTTTATCTACCAGGGTAGATGTTATTTTTTGTAGTAATACAAAATATGTACCATCTTGTGGATATGTCGTTGAGATACTAAAAAGCAGGTATCATAACTTCCCTTGATCTCTCTAGTAATATGCACATTCTCTTTATATTACCAAAACTGCTAGCTTTTAAGGTTATCATCATCATCACCACAGGCAGAGATGAGTCTCTGAATGCAGTCTTGTTCTCTGCCAGTTCAGGACCCAGGGAGTGTCTGATCACCGAGAATTTTTACTTCTTGACCTACCCTTGACTGACCCAAGATAGTCAAAGTGAGATTTGTTGTCAGTTTCCTTTTTCCCCATTTAGAATCATGGTCCTAATTTTTGACACATTTACCAATTCTTCTCCTTGTATTATCTATCTCATTGGTTCCTTAAGTCTCAGTTTGAAACCTTCCCTTTCTAGGAATTGCCTCCTGTTATTCCTGATTTCGCCCAGCCAAAAGCTAGGTATTTTTGATAAAACTAAGTCACAAAAGATGCAAGTAGACTAAGGCATTACTCCTTGCCAACTTTATCTGCATTGTAATAAAAACCTGGATAGGAAATGTTTATGCAATATATGGAGAAGGGAGCGAGACAACATGAATATGAGAATTTTGGGTGTAAGGTTCTTATTATCCTTTAAATAATTATGGATATTTATATGGGAATCCCATTTTCAATACTTAGATGCCAATTAGGGAATTGGAACTTTATCTCTGGGGATATGTAGAGCCATCAGTGTCGTTAATATAGGGAAGCACTATGATTAACTATGTGTTTGAGAAAAGTCACTCTGACTAGAGAGGGATAAAGGAAGACTGGAGAAGAGGCTGTTGTGACTAGAGCTAGGGCACTGGTTTGAGAAAATGGAGGGATGCTGCAGCATAACTAAATACAGACACATCTGCCCTAGGCATTTTGACTGGTTGAGGAGCGCGAAGGATGAGGATAATCTAGGGGGAAGTCATTTTCCTCTATTAGGCGGTGGGAAATAGATGATGGAACACAAAAAGAAAAATATAATTGAAAGACAATATATTGCTATTTGAAAGGTAGAAATGATGGATTCCATTTTTGAGTTTAGTAAATTTCAAGTACCTGTAGGATAGGAAAGAAAATAGCATTTCCATCTGAATGTGATGATGAGAATTTTTTCATGTGCCTGTTGGCCATCTGCATGTCTTTAGAGAAGTGCCTGTTTAGCTCTTGTGACCATTTTTTGGATTGAGTTGTTTTGTTTTGTTTTGTTTTTTTTCTGATGAGTTGTATGAGTTCTTTGTAGGTCTTGGATATCAGCTCTTTGTTGGATGTATGCAACTATTTTCTCCAATTCAGCAGGGTGTCTTCCTGTTTTTGTGATACTTTCTTTCAGTATGCAAAAGTTCTTTAGTTTGATGTATTCCCAATTGTGTATGTTATCTTGTGTTTTCTTGCTGTTGGTGCTGAATCTGCAAAGATATCACTGAAACCTATGTTGTAGAGTATCTTGCCTGTTTTCTTCTATGAATTTTGTGGTTTCAGATTTTTATAAAAGATTTATTTATGCATACAAGAGCTGGAGTGAAGGCCAGAAGTGCAGGGCAGGGGAGTGAGAGGATTCCCAGAGACTGAGTGGGGAGCAGAACAGGTGGAGTGACTGAAATAACCTGCTGAGGGGAGCAGCAGGTTAGACAGGAAAGGTCTGCTGCACCAGGTGTGTTAGCTTCATAGTGCTGAGACATAATCTGTGTGCCACCAGGGAGGCCCAGGTTTCAGATCTTACATCAAAGTATTGTGCCATTTTGAGTTTATTTTTGTGTATGGTGTGAGATAATGGTCTCATTTCATGTGACTATCCAGTTTTCCAAACTCCGTTTGTTGAAGAGATTTTCCTTTCTCCAATATATACTGTGGGCTCTTTTGTTGGAGATTAACTCTCCGGGAAAGTGTGGGTATATTTCTGGGCTCTTAATCCTATCCCATTGACTTGTATGTACGGTTTTGTTCCTGTACCATACTTTCTTGATTGCTGTTACTTTGTAATACCATTTGACTGATAGGTGATGTCACCTCTATTTTGTCAGGATTACTATTTGGGTTTTTTTTTATGGTTTTCATATATATTTTGGTAATGTTTGTTCTATGTTTTTTTGAAGAACACCATTGAAACTTTGATAGGAATTGTATTGAATTTTTATATTGCTTTGGATAAAGTGGCCATTTAACAGTGTTAATTCTTCCAATTCATGAGTAGGTATTATCTTTCCATTTCTTTGTGTCTCTTTCAACAATGTCTTATCGTTTTCATTGTAGAAGATCTTTGCTTCTTTTGTGTTCTTTACCCCTAGGTATTTAATTCTTTCGATATAATTGTAAATGTGATTGTTTTTGTGATTTCTTCCTGTTCTATTTCATTTTTTTTGCCTACAGGAATGTAATTGAATTTTGTAAATTGATTTTGGAAATTGCCACTTTGTGTACTGCTTTATTGTTTTAGTTCTTTTAGTTGAGTGTTTAGAGTATATTTATCATGTAATCTGCAAGTAGAAATAGTTTCACTTCTTTCACAGTTTGGATTCCTTTTATATCTTTATTTAGCATAAGTGCTCTAAATAGGATTTCCAATGCCATGTTGAATAGTAGTGGTAAAAGTGGACATCCTTGTCTTGTGCCTGATCTGAGAGGAAAAGTTTCCAGTTTTTCACCATTAGAATGATACTATCTGTGAGTTTGATATGTATGACCTTTGTTACGTTGAAGAATGTTCCCTCTATCTCCATTTTTGAGGGATTTTACTAATAAATGTTGACTTTTATCAAATGCCTTTTCTGCATATATTGATATGATTGTATGATTTTTATCTTTCCTTTTATTGATGTGGTAAATTACACACCTCAATTTTCAGATGTTGAACTATCTCTATGTCCCTGAAATAACCTTACTAGGTCATGGCATGTGATCATTTTCATGCATTGTTGAGTTCAATTTTCTAAGATTTTGAGGATTTTGCATCTTAGTTCATCAGGGAAATTGGGCTATAGTTTTCATTTTGTTATGTTTGAGTTTTGATATTGGGCCTCATAGCATTCTACTTTTTATGTTTACTTGGGGTAGGTTAATTTGCGTCTGGCTCTTTCTGATTCTAGAGCCCTTACCATGCTGTCTGAAAACACATTTTGATTCCTTTTCTACCTGGAGTAGTCAGATTACTTTCAATCCTTTCCTGCTACATTTATTTTTATTTAGAATTATTGCTTACTACTTTATAGTGTCCATTTATTTTTTGAAAAGTTCATGCATTTCCTTTGTCTCCAAAATATCATCTCCTTGAGGTCAAGGAATTGTTCCTTATTCTGATATGTTATGATCAGATTTCTTCCATCTTTTCTGATTCTCTCTTCCATATCAATTATTTTATTTAACTATTACAATGCCTTGAAAAATTCCTGTTCTTGGATAACTTGAATCAGTGTATAGTCAAATTCTATCTGCAAGATCAAAGGAAAAATACAGAATATTTCAATTTTTTTACCAAACGAATATAGCATCATCCCATAGCATAATTTTAAAAATAATTTTGTATTGAATTTGAGAAAATTTACCAAAGTAAAAATATGACTTGATAAACTGACATTAGCATAAATATTTCTTCATAATACCCTTAAGTATTTTAATGTGTATAGGTAAGACATTTTTGTATTTTGCATTTTAAGGTTGTAAGAACTCATTGCTGTTATCAGTGAATGTTCAGCATACAATCATTTGTGATCACTTAACCTTCCAAGTTTATGGTATTATTTTAGATTTAGTTTTCTTGTAGCTTTCTTTTCATTAGAATTTAACAAGAGAGGTTTTATTCATGTGAATGTTAATAGCATTTGAATAAGCTATGGGAGAATTACGATGTAATGCTGCTGGATACAGAATGATGCTTTTAGACACCAAGACTAATAATTTTTAACAATATCTAAAAACATTGTAGGGAAAGCTTGAACCATGTTGGCACCAGGGACAGACAGGCATGAAAGATTAATGTAATCTTGCATATAATGATGCACATTCTTACACAAAAAATCCATCTGCAATGTCATGTCAGTCAGCAGAAATCTTTGATGGGTGGATACAGCTGGGCTGTCTCTTCTGGCAGAGCTGCCCTAGAAAATGCTAAATGTGGTTGGGATGCTTGGTGCCATCTGCACTGTGCCAGTTTATCCTGTCTTTACTGGCATTTACAATACTGCATAGGGCATCGTGACTTAGAGACAGCGATAGGGAGTGACAGATTCATTTCCTCCGAGGACCCAGGCTCTGGTGCGCCTGTGTGCTCCCCTCCTCTTGGGCTGTGGTTCTGTTATCAATGGTCTTGGCTTTGCTTCATATTTTCACATCCAACTCCTCCTCTTTTTAGTCTAGCAGTTCCAGATACACATTCTTCTAGTATGTAAATCTTACACTAACCTTTCAACTAATTTATTCATGTGAGTTTGCCAAAGTGATTTAACATTGACTGTTCGGTGCCAACTAATATGCCTTATTTTCAAAATACTGCTGCTCCCAAGCTTCTGAGTTAAAGGAAATGTGTTTTATTTAGTGAACACTAAACAGACAAGGATCAAGATCAATTATCTAACTGCTATGTGTGGGATATCCCCAAATGACTTATGTACTTGGAACAAGTGTGGAGCCCTTTTTTTACATAAAGCTGTAATATACATCAGGCAACTAACATTTAATCCTCTTTCCTATGATTAAAATATAAATATTCAAGAATAAATGTTATTTTATGGCCTCACCATATGTTTGTTGTATTATCCTGCCAAACCAGTTTAAAAGTATAAAGCATTGTTTAGAACTTTCACTTTGTGTATGTGTGTTTTTTTTTTTTTTAACACAGTAACAGAATATGAAGGACATGCACTGTCACTGCTAAAGGAATGTGAACTCCAGGGATTTGATGGGTAGGTTGTGTTATTTATGTTATCATATTACTTGTTATTAAATGTTTTCATCCTTGTATTTAGCACCTATAAATTTTAAGTATCTGTGAGATTTGTAACTAAACTCTTTCATTTTTATCTGTAACAAAAAATGATCACGATGAAATGGCATGATATCCACCTCATAGGATCTGGCATAGGAAACAAAAGGAGAAAACTCATCATAAGTACCTTGAAGCCTATAGTGTGTACCTTGCACTTATTTCACATGCATAATTTGTGTCTATTATCATTAGTTCTTGACTTTCATCATGTGAATATCTAAAAAAAAGCATTGATGAAAATATGCTGTTAGTTTTATGCATCATTGTACTAGAAGCCTCTTTTATAAATTTGAGTGTTAATAACTATGGTTCGTTTGGCTATGATTTTATAAAAACAATGTATTTTCAGAAAGAATAGAAGATGCTACTTTTAATTATCTCGTATAATTTAATGGCTGCCAAATAAGTGTTACCCACACTAGGCACTGGAAATTATTTGCTTCATGTTGCTGGAGGGTGCAGAGATTGTTCACTGGCTTGCAAACACTAGGAAAAAAGCAAGGGACACACTTAAATGGCCATTTTTAAAAATTAAGTAAGTCATTTGGTTAAAGTGTAGGATTGCTATAGGAGATGAAACTAATCTCTTAGGGAACTTTTTTTGCAAGAAGGAACATTTCAGAGGTGTAAAAGGTGGGAAGTGATTGAATTATTTGTATTACATGGTGGTGGGCAAAAGGGCAACCAGAGGCTCAATATCAGGAAGATCACCTGGACCTTTCAACTGAGGTCAAGGGTGTTGCTTTTCCAGAGAACTATTGGAATATTTTAGGGAGGAAAGTGACATAGTCAAAATGGAACATTAATTAGCAGAGTTTTTTTCAAAGAAATGCTTAATATTTTTTGGTGAGAAAACAGTATTAGAGGATGAAAAAAAAATTTGTAAGTAAAACATAATTTCACAAAGGAAATAGAGAATAAATCTAAATTATGTAAATATTAAGGTTGAATACTGAGGTAGGAGACTACTTCAGAGCTTTATACTTATATTGATTAATAGGCTATGTCTAGGAAATTAATTTATAAGTAGACAATTTAAGAAAACTAATTGGGGTAATCATGCCCACTGGCTACCTATCTTAATATACTGTGCTGTTCTGGCACACAGTTTGTGAGTATAAAATGGTGGTTGAATTTAAAACAATCCCTTTCTTTAACACATAATTATGTAATGGGATTAACAGACATCACAGATAGGAGAACTGATCTTGCCCATCAGCATTATGAAGTATTCTGCTAAACATGTTATCTATAAATATATTCTTTTGGTAATATACTGTGATTAGGATCATGAAGACCTTTGCAGAATGATGAGATGAATGCTCACGTACAGCACAATAATAGTTTCCTCTCCTGAACGTGCTTGATTCTTTATTTCAAGTGACAGGTGTGGCATTAAAAGTTACATAGATCCTGTAGTTATTACCCACATTTTTTATAAACCAAATAGTTTGGTCTGGCCATTACATAAATGAAGTTCCAGTGATTTAACTGTTTCTAAATCTTACAGTGTGTTGATTTAGAATGTCTATTGAAAGTCATGTATGTTCTAAAATCTTTTAGATTTTTTATTTTTATAGGCTTTGTTTTTCCAGTAAGACTTGATAATGGTGGTTGGGATTACTGATTTCATAAAGTGGTAATTTTAAATTGCTCTGTTTAGAATTGCATAGAGAGGTATATGAGAAGAACAATGAAAACAGTGTCTTTAGTGCTACAAAAGAACAATTCTCTAAGTAGTAGAATTGCTTGAAAAATGGAATGCTCTCTGCTCTTTAATTCCTTCTTTCTGAGCCTATTTAAGAAATGACTTCAACACACACACACACACACACACACACAGAGGATTCAAGGATGGTACAGTATCCACAAGTATCTTGGTATTTTGATGAAAAAGGGGCTTATAATAACCTTCAAGAACTTGAGCCGGGAGCATCTCTGGCTTTCTCCAGCAGAAATATTAATAAGCAATCATTAGGAAATCACCTAAAGCATTTTAAACACAGAACCAGAGAAGTTAAGATCCAAGAAAATGGTGTTATTTTCAGTGAAGCAATAGTATTTGAAAAATAATGTTCAAGAATTGTTATCAGATTTTGGAGTTTTTTAACAATTACACATGTTTCCTTGAAAGATACATCGTGACATATTTCTAAATGCAATAGGGACAGAATATCCATACTTGTGACAGCTGGTTACCTCCAGTGAGTCCTAGCAAACACTCTCAGATCCATTGCTAGAATTTTTAGGAGCTTAAGTTCCCATATTGTCCCCTATTTATACCGGTTATGAATATGAAGTTCTATATAGGCAAATAAAGATTAATATCAGGTACATAAATTAGAAGCAGTTGAATTTATGAATGTGAATATGGTTAAGCTGACTTATACTTCTGATGCAATTTTAAATACACTTAAAACTTTGTTTCATGGTTCTTAAATTTCAATTGGTAAAATTACTGTTAATTTCACCATTAACTAGACCTACAAAAACCTACCTTTATATTATTGGACTAACATTGAGCACAGTGACTGTGATATTAGCTACTAAGTAAGGTTTTAAAAATTACCTTTTTAAAAAAATAAAGTCTAAATCAAAACCTCAGTAATATTACACATTTCAAAGATGATATTGGTTGATAGTCAGATACCTTACCCAAATACAAAAATACCCATTTAAAAATGTATTATCACTTTTCACTACAGGTAGGATATAAGTTCCTCCAGTTGTACTTTTCTAGGCAGAATCATTCTACATGGGGTCACACTAAGATTTTTTTTATCCTAAAAACGTAAGTGGTATCACACGTAAATAATTAGTTACTCGAAGGTTTATGTTTTAGAGTAACCCTCAGTTTTAAAAGGTTGATTTTTGTTTTTTCTTTTAGTATCAGACTTGTGATATGTTTATATACTAAGTACAGTTTCTAGGTAACTAAGTGGGGAGGTAATCTTAATGATCTAGGAGTTATCAAAATAAATATATTCCTTTCTAACTCATTCAGTTCCACATTGGTTTTAGGAAGAGAATATACTAGGTTTAATGGTAGTGCAGTCTAAAAAGAAATTTTCTGGTTTCAGACTTAAATTTTATTACTTCATTACCTTGGAAAAGTTACTTAATCTTTATATGCCTTAATTTCTTAATCTTTAAATTGAGGGTAAAATTATCTTACTCTGTGCAGTTACTGTTCAAATTAAATAAGTCAATACATGCAAAGTTCTGAGACCAGCACCTGGAACATAGTCATTATTCACTAGATGTTACTTTATTTATTCTAATTATCTTCATTCATTATAGTTTCAAAATATTTAACAGACTGTGTTGTGACAAACTTTCAAAGATTTTTGTAGAAGAGCATGTTCACAGAAATGCCACCGCTATTAATTCCAACAGTGTGTTTGACAGGTTCACTTTGCTGTAACTAGATGCAGGATCTGGGGATTGGGTTGCCATCTTCTATGGAAATTAAGTTCCTCTGTGCTAAGTTAGATGCTTGGTGGGATGATTTTATGTAGTCCTTTTATATCTCACACACCTCAGCACACAGACAGATGTGGATCTGGGAGTTAAAATTAAGTTCATAGAGGGCCTCCCCAGTGGCACAGCGGTTGGGCGCTGGGCTGTGAAGCTGCCTGCAGCCTCTGCAGCGCCAGTTCGATCCCTGACTGCCAGCGAAGGTCCCACATGGCGTGGCAGACCTCTCCTGTCTCATCTGCTGCTCCACTCAGCAGCGTATTTCGTCAGTCTGACTGTTCTGCTCCCCGCTCTGGCTCTGGTGAATTCTCTCACCCTCCCACGCTTCTGACTGTACCCAGTGCTTGTATAAATAAACAAATAAATAAATAAATAAATAAATAAATCTTTTAAAAAAATGTGATTCCTTAAAAAAAAATTAAGTTCATAGAATGTTTGGACATCTGCTTTGAAGAAATTTTTAAGTTGTACAGCTAGGTTCAAATCGAACCTTGGGTTCCCCATTAAAAAGATAAGACAAACACCTATTTCACAGAATTCTGAGGATTTAAAAAGAATTGTTTTTACATTGTTGTTAATTTTTGGGTGGTGGTTGATTTCTCCCCTCAGGTGCAGTCCCCCTAGTTCTCCCATCACCATAGCCATAGCACCCATGATCTACCACCACAGTCCCTTGTGATCTTCCTTCCCCCGTTTTGACTCCTTTTCCTCCCCCTTAGAATTCTGAGCATTTAGTAGAAAAGAGCCAGCCTATCAGCTTACATAAAGTTGGCCCTCTTTTTCTCTGAATCACTGGCCACGTTGTGAACCCCTGGAATCAGACATTAAAGGATGCTCCTGGCCAAAAATGATTCCCGTCATAGTCCATGTGCTGGAGTCTGTTCTAACTTATGGAGTCTTTGGACTGAACCTTACCCAGGTGCAGGTGGCCAGGAGGCTAAGAGGAAGGTGGAGGGAGCTAATGGAAAAAGTACCCCCCACCTCTAGATTCACCACCCTCTGGGACTTCCTAAACAAGGGACCCAGTAACCCCTTTTGATTATGGCCCTTGGCACACCTTTTTTGTTTTTAATATATCAAATGTTAGTTTCTAGTATTTAAAATTAGGAGACTCGTCCAAAATTTAGGATATGTGATTTCTCTAGAAATATCGGAAGATGGATCCCCCTGGCCTGCCTTCTTGGTAAGTGAGGAAGCTGGAGGCTCTCCTGTGCACTGAGCACACTCTTCTGTTCCTGCCGGGCCCTGTGGACCCTGGATTGTGTGGCACCTGTTTCCAGTAATGTAAAATGTTCCATTTTGTGTACATTACTGATATTTTGATATTTAAGATTACTTTGCATCTTTTAAATATAAATGATTAAAAAACAAATTTCTGTTTTTTTATATATTACTTTTAAAGAATCCCATCCTCACCATGCCTATAATTGACTTAAACAAAATATTAGCAATACTGTCTAGGGTCAATGGGTATTAACACTAATTTTAAACATGCCATATAGCAGTCGTGTCCAGGAGATGAAAACCAGTTCAGGTTTGAAATTACTCTACTCATATACTAATGATAATTATGAGTTTCTTAAATTAAGGTTTCATATTTTTATGTGATTTTTATTGCTGTCTTATCTGTACTCTACTGAAAATTAGGATTTTATGACTGGTTAAATGAATTGCATATGACTATTATTAACATAAGCAAAGTGAGAATATGTGAATATTCACAGAGCAAAATGCAGGTCAGATGTGAGTTAACAAATGCAGATGTCTTCATGGCTCAACCCATTTAAAAGTATTGTAAGTCTGTGGTATTATCCCAGTGTATTTGTGAAGTAAGTCTTGCCAGGTTAGTACTGATGTCTTCTTAGTCACTGACACATACTACAGTCTTTGAAAGTGTACGTGAGTAGTCGTGGACATGTAAGACTAATATTTTGAATCCTAGATGTTGTGAATTATTACCAATTATTTTGAAGTTCTGCAACCTTATACTTAATTTCTTCTTTCTAGTGTCGTCTGTGTTGGTGGAGATGGATCTGCCAGTGAAGTAGCTCATGCTTTGCTCCTTAGAGCCCAGAGGAACGCAGGGATAGAAACAGACCACATCCTGACTCCTGTCCGAGCGCAACTTCCCCTCGGCGTGATACCAGCAGGCAAGGGAATGAATGGCCGTGGACTGTTAGTGGAATTTCTCTTCCTATCTTGTCCTGACTCAGTTCCTAAGCTAGACAGTGCGCAGAGTTAAATGCCCAGACTTTGAGTCTGAAAGACCAAAGTTTGGCATCTCCACTTGTAAATGTGGGCTGTGGACAAATTATTTGATTTTCTCTGAGCCTCATTTTCCTAATCCATAAAAGTGAGGTAATATAATATACATATATACTATGTACTTTACTGCAACATTATTGTAGTATTAAATTAGATGGTATGTGCAGAGTGTTTAATACATATATATAGTGTAGTTTAATACATAGTGTAGCAATCAATAAATGGGATTGTTATTATTTTACCTTCCCATAAAGTTAGAAAGATCACCCAGGTATGAAATCTCAAAAGAGGGCCATCCCCGTCAAGTTGCTTATGATTTTATATGGGGTAAAATGTGGGATTCCCAAAATCAAAGTACAAACAGATAACTTGGAGAATGCCAGAGGGACTCCTCCTCACTGGGAGTGTCAGTGCACTGGAGGGTGAGCTTCTTAAGGGCTGGGCAGTGTGTCTTTTTATTTACTACTGTGTCTCCAGCAGCTGGAATAGAAGGTGGCACAGTAAATGGTCAAAGTTGACCAAATGAACAAATGTGAAGAAGACATTATAAAGCAAATAGCACTTGAGTTAGGCCTAAAGATGGCTAGGAGCTAGCCTGAAGAGAATGAGTGTATTTTCTTGGATGCAAAAGTAATAAATGCGAAGGCAAAACCCAGGAGTATTGAGGAACAGAAAATAGTTGGTTTGTTGGGTGATAATGACATCACAGTAGGCCCAAACCATGGTAACTGCTGGCTGCCACAAGACAGTGTCTGACTTGTATTTGGTAAGCGGCGAACATTAGGAGTTTCAGAGCAAGGGCACTCCCTGCTCTGAAACTAGGGGGATTCCTGAAGTGGGGAGTGGAGTAGGACAGAAGGCCCTCAGCTCCAGAGAGAACTTAGAGCAACACTGTGGCCAGAAAAGAGGAAAACAGCTTTCGCAAGTTTATGGTGTTTCACAAGTCACTCTTCCTTATTTAAGCAAACAATAGTGAAAGAATGTGATTATTTCTTTTCATTTTAAAAACATCACACATTGTTATCAATATAAGAAAAGCCAAAAAAAAAAAGATATGTTCCCTTTGGAAAGAGAAAATAATACACACATTAATGAGTTTCAGCATACTATTTATTGTTAAATTTTTAAAAACACAGGATATGCAAATACCCTTTTACAAAATATTTATTTATGCATACAAGAGCTGGGGGTGCAGGCCAGAGATGCGGGGGGTGGGGGTGGTGAGAGGATTCATCGTAGTCAGAGTGGGAAGAGAACAGGCAGACTACTGAAATACGCTGCTGAGGGGAGCAGAGGATAAGACAGGAGATGTCCACCTTTCTATGTGGGTTGCTTCCTGGACAGCTGGGGATAGAACTCATGCTGCTGAGGCCAAAGCCGAGGATTGCTTCATAGTGTGGTGCTTTAACCCTTTGTGCCACCAGGGAGGCCCTGCAAATACCCTTTTAGAGTATAGTATTTTTCTGAAGCAAGGATTTAAAGGAAGATGGATGTTTAAATATATGCTGATCACTGTAATACTTATATAGAAAACACTATAATAGACTTTAAGTAGAAGAGAACAAAATAATCCCAACTCAAAAAGAAAAAAGAAAGACACATTTTGGCACAGCTCTGTGGCCTGTGTCCTTGTATTAGCTCTGTCTAGAATGGTGAAATTTTGAGCATTTCCCTTCCTGCAGAGTGGATGTGCTTAGGTCAATGTTGGTCTTCATTAGTCTGATGCTCCTGAGGTCACTCACTGCCATGCATCTAAAGTGCGGGGATGTGTGTCCCCATGAGCATGCGTTTAACATGCACACTGGTTAGCTACAAAAACGGGTGGTTATGCTTATCTTAAAAAAATGTAACTCATATGGGCCGCACGGACTGTAAACTTGAGGCCCACTTGAGTGCAGGTTCACCAATGTGCAGACACCAGGCCGCGTTGTTTACCCTTCACTGCTCTCTCAGGACATGGGCTACACCTGCGGATGCAGGGTTTATGAGGTGTTTAATCACTTCACCATTGCCAAAGCAGACGCGCTCCTCCAGTAGTACTAGTAGCCCATAAAGCCAGGTAGAGAAAAGGGCCTCCCTAGTGGCCTAGCGGGTTAAGGCTCAGTGCTACCACCACTGCTGCTACGGCCTGAGTTCGAGACCCGGCCCAGGGAGCCAACCCCACGTAAGGTGCAGGGGCCTCTCCTCTTGCCCACTGCTCCCCTCAGTGGTGTAATTCAGTTATGTTCACTCTTCTTTCCTTGTGTGTCCCCTTCCCCTCTCCCCACCCTTCCCTTGTCTGTCTCCCCTACTTCCTTCCTCCTTCCTTCCCCCCTCCCAACAAAAGAACATAAAATATGAGACCAGGTCTTAGTAAACGTTCTTTGTAAGACGTTGAAAGAACTGATGATGGAGGTAAGATGTTGAAGAAACTGATGATGATGGAGAAAAGTAGGGGAGCTCATCATGAGCCTGTGAACATGGAAGCAAGAACCCACAGCTGGGTGGAGAAAAGTGTTTGGTTTCATTAAGCCGATATCTTCAGCTGATTAAAAATACACACAATAGGGCCTCCCCTAGGCGGCGCAGGGGTTAGAGTGCTGGGCTGCAAAGCTGTCCACAGCCTCTGCAGCGCCGGTTCGATCCCCAGCTGCCGGATGAAGGTCCCACATGGCGCGCAGACCTCTTCTGCCGCCCGCAGCAGTGTACTTTGTTGGTCTGCCTGTTCTGTTGCCTGCTCTGGCGAATTCTCTCATCCTCCTGCACTTCTTGTATAAATAAATCTTTAAAAAAAAAAACAACACAATAAACCTATGCTTATTACAATGCACCTAGAAAAAAAAGTAACTCAGATTTTACAGAGGAATAGCATTGAATTTTTTCATCATATCAATGGTTAAGCATATCTCTGATTTTGAAAGCGTATTTTAAAAACACTGGATATTTGCAGAAATGCCATTTGGATACTTTTCTTTAACAAATATAGCCTGTTGTGAAAACTCTGGATGATGTATCCCAGCTTATTGATTCCATATAAATAAGGAGGAAGTTGTGTACAGGATGTATTAAGAGGAGGACTGTATGCCTAGTCAATGCTTTGATAGTCACAGAATTGGAATGAGAGCTAAGCAGGAAGTTCCCATCTGAACATAGAAGACAGTCTGCCTTTGAAGCCATTTACCTCCTGGAGAGAGACACCCAGAGGGAGAGTGTTTAGTAAATTATTCCACTGAGCCAACAGACTAAGCTGCTGAATTATGGTCAGACTCAAATGGATCAGATGTGGGGAAGCCTGTATTTGAACTGCTGGCCATTAGCAATGGTGTTTGTTGCTATGGGAACTGGTGCTAAGGAACTATACTGAGATTCCGATTAAAAGGGTGTTGAGGAGGAGGCTAGGGAAAAAAGCCTGAGAGGACATAAAAATAAAAAAGCAATCCAGTTGTTGTAAAACAAGGCTCAATCCACATACTGATGGTGTGAACCATATATTCCTGTAGAGTTCACATAAATAAATTCATGCTTTCCAATTAATTTGGGCAGAATAAAATATTGCCAAGGGACTGTTAATTTCTATGATATTTCAGGCAAAGAACCAAAGTGTAGGTGCAGTTTTCATGAGAATTTTAGATATGCTTGACTAGGAAGTCATTACATCACATTTATCTGTTTGGATGTGGGAGACATTAACGGCCTTATGAATATTCATGGTGTCTAGTTAATTAAGTTAATTGTTCTGCAGAAGTGCTTGCACTTCCAAGGACAATTTTTTTTCTTTCTTTCTTTTTGCCTCTGTTGTTGCTGCCTGATCCCTTCCATCAGTCATGCTTCACATGAAAAGCTACTTCTGCCCTACTCCTTGTACTTGGCACATTTTAGCAGGTCTGGGAGGTGGAAGGTGAGCAAAGTTGCTGGTAGCATTAAGAAAAATAACTTTTCAAGCTAATTAAAATGTTTACCTTGAGGTAGAACATTTATAGCTTTGGGAAGGATGCTAAAATTACATAGTTGCTTATGTGAGCAGCATGTTCTTTTGGCATGTAGACATCTTTGCAAATAGAGTACAATTTCCTTAAACAAAAACTGTGATCTGTTTATCCCAACAAAAATATTGAGCGATCAAGTTTTACAATTTAACATCCATTTTCCTCAGGAACTTTTTATTTCAGAATATAAAAGACTGCTTAAAGACGATGATACATATTTCTCAGAATAGATGAGTAAAATAATTTTCTGATGTGTGGTCATGTTTATTTTCACTGCCAAGTTTCTGAGAATTAAGGGCAGTCTGCAAAGTTGCAAAGCCTGAGAAGATGCAAAAATAAAAAAGCCATCATTCTGGAAGAATTTGTGCTTGGGCATACTAGTGCATACTTCAGACTTGCAGGGGATAAAAGAGCTTTATTTTCTGGAGTCATGATATGTTATTGTCTGTTGCACATGACAACATTACATTATTTTTATAACTAGCGTTTCTGGAGCACTGCTTTTATGATCTACTCTGATTAACCATGGTAATGGGGGAAGTGTGCTTCATGGACTACTGTAATCCATCGGTCATCCTAAATATCTCTCTAATTGTGTGACCTCCTTTTAAACCTTTACCATAAATCTGATTGGGAAAAAAGATAGATTGATTTGTTTCCTCTCTTTTTTCCACCCATTCCAAATTAATTAGAATTAGATGGCCAAACGGCAGGCAGACCACAGGGGGTCAGTGAATAACTTCAAGGGCCTAGATAATTGACTCCTGGGTAAAAATCCGTTTAAGAACTGGTTTCTGGACCACTTGTTTACAAACCTTAGGGTGGAAGTAAATCACTTTGAGAACTTGCCAAAACATGGCCCTTCTACACCTGGACATTCCAATGCAGTGGGTTGGAGGTGGAACTAAAATGTGCATTTTTAACAAGAACCAGGTAACACTGATGCTGCTGATTCCTGCATCACACATTCTAAGAGTACGTCTCCAAGTTATTGTGTATACACTGTAAACTGCACATCTTCCAAAATGCAGACTCTGACCCAGTAGGTCTGAAGAGGCATCTGTTGCTGTCAATACAGTATTAAGCACCCTGCTGTTGCTATTGGGGCTAGGTTGTAGACTGTTTTCTGAGAAACAAGAATCAGAACATAACTTCCTTTTCTACAAATCCATGGGTACCAGCTATAAATTTTTTTATTTTTAAAATATATTATTCTTACATCATTTTTCATTTTTGCACAAATGTATGCATTTTCATTTTGGTTATATTCCCCATACAATTGCACCGCCCCCTTATTTTGACCTTCATCCTTCCTCTTCCCCACACCCTCAAGTGTGTCTCTGGTTTATAGTTGCTTGTTGATTTTGATTTTTACTTTATTATAATTAGTCTTTTTCCTGGTCCCTTATTTAGGTTTTCTAAATTCCTGCTATGAGTGAGACCATCCGGTATTTTTCTTTTTCTTTCTGGCTTATTTCGCTGAGCATGATCCCTTCTAGCGCCATCCATGTTGCTGCAAATTGCTTGAGTCTATCTTTTGTGATTTTGAGTAATATTCCATGATATATATGTACCACATCTTCTTGATCCAGTCATCTATTTTTGGGCATTTTTGGGTTGTTTCCAAAGCTTAGCTATTGTAAATAGTGCTGACCAGCTATCAAATTTGCTAGTGTAAACTTACGTTTGTGTTGGTGTTACTAGAGGTCTGAAAGATTAATGCTTAGATAGGTCCCTTATGAATATTATTTTAATGACAGTCTTGGTTGGTAATATCTAAATTGCTTTAGCTTTTCCAACTGAGTAACCCTAGCACCTACCAGTCGAAAGTCACACAAACTGAATAGTAGGTTATGTGTGACCACATGGGAATGTGCCTAATAAATCAATCCATGATAGGGGTGGTACATGTCACACCCTTTCCCAGATCCTGCCTTTATGGGACTTCTTTCTCATTCTCTAAGTTAAGAAAAATTGTAGTTTTAATTTTTAAACCCTTTATATCTCCTAACAATTGCAGAGACCCCTGATATTTGTCCCTTTACCCAAGATCTCAGACACAAATATTATAGGGGCCTAACTTGAGAGGGCTCTTTCCCTCTGTACGCTGGTCAAAAAATTCATTTGACCTTAACTTCTAATGATTATGAAAATAAAAGTGCCATAGTCTCGATACAGATTTATATACAATAGTAGATGCTGTAGAGTTACCTTTTGCATTTAGGATACCATTTTTCAGGTAATAGCATCCATAACTGGATGAACGGTTATAGCAAAATTTCTAAATTGTACTTAAAGCATGTCATTGTATTAATAGTGCTTAGGGAATTTTTTTTTTTTTTAGTTATTTGGGTCTTTTTTGTCTCCACTTGTCTATCTCTGCTCTCCAGAGCCACTCTTCTGTTGGTGCTCATTATAAGGATGGAGTAGACTTTGATATAGCTAGAATTTTGGGGGTAGGAGGGAGAAAAGTAGACATTCCTGGTGAGAACTGCAAACTAGATATTATAAACTATTTCCTAACTTTTAAGTTATTTAAAAATTAACCATGATTCGGGAACCATTTAATGTAAATAAGATTTCCATTAAATTTCATCTGCCATTTATACAGTGACATTTGTACAAAGTAACAAATGTTTAATTTAAAATATAGAGTGTATTGGGCCTCCCTGGTGGTGAAGGGTTAAGCACCACACTATGAAGCAATCCAAAGCCCTGCAGCATGAGTTCAATCCCAGCATGAGTGCAACCCACATGGCGCAACAGACCTCTCCTGACTCACCCACTGTTCCCCTCAGCAGAGTATTTCACGCAGTCTGCCTATTCTGTTCCCCACTCTGTCTCTGGTGAATTATTTCACTCCCCCACCCCCACATCTCTGGCCTACACCCCAGGTCTTGTATGCATTAATGAATAAATCTTAAAAAAATAAATAAAATATGGAGTGTGTTGACTGCACGTGTTTTAAATTGATTTGCAGGCTCCACTAATATATTGGCACATTCACTTCATGGAATTCCTCATGTGGTAACTGCAACTTTGCACATTATAATGGGTAAGAATTCTTCAAAGGAGTTCATGTTCAAGTTTTTATTTGTATAAGGAGACTATTTTCTGTCAGACTTGTCTAAGGAAAGAGAGATTCTTTGTCTCACACAGCAGAGAAATGTTTGACTGAAACCCAAAAGTTAATAGGACAAAGCTTCACTCTTTGGGATGCTGTGTTCTTAGATTTTAGGCTCTATTAGCAATAAAGTTTTCCTTAATCTCGGTGGAAAAACTATTGTAATGATGTTGAATATCACTGTTTTATAGCTAGATCATGAAAAAATGTGTGTACTATTGAAGTATAATGTAATTTTAGTGTGCCAAGATCCAAGGGTTAGAATTATCAAAAGGAAAAAAAAAAAAACCCACAAAAACCTTTTCAGCTGGTGCCTGTCCAGTAGAACTTTTATTATCCTACTTGATGTTTAGTATGTAAGCTTAGGTAAAATGCAGTGGAAAATTGTTTATATTTAAGTTTACTTTGCAGATCTATTTCACGTTCACATTTTGAAGCATGCTTTATATGGAATAGCAGTAAGCTGCCATAATTGCTTTGTTTCTTTGCTTAGTACCTGAAAAACTTCCAGATGGCAATTGGAGTGGTGTAGGTAAAGAGGGGTGAAGAAAAAGCAAGGATACTCATTATTGCATAAAGTAGCTTGAGATATTCTTCTGAAATTACATGTGCTCTTCTGCATGCCATTTCTGGCCCTCCTGCACTACCTGACTAACATTTAGTCTAATATTGAAGGGCACGTGCAACCAGTCGATGTCTGTACCTTCAGCACCACTGGCAAGCTTCTTCGATTTGGGTTCTCAGCCATGTTTGGCTTTGGTGGAAGAACCTTGGCCCTGGCAGAAAAGCATCGATGGATGTCCCCTAACCAGCGGAGGGATTTTGCTGTAATTAAGGCTTTGGCAAAACTTAAGTAAGATGTTCTTAAACCAAAAATTTCATAGAGTCAATGACTGTTTTTATTTGTTTCAATTAAAGTACTATTTTTATTTGTTTATAGCATTACATAAGTTTCAGGGGATACTTTGATAACTGTAAACACTACCTTACCATCACCACCAAAAGTCTAGTTTCCATTCATCAACATGCAATTGACCCCCTTAACTCATTTTGCCTGCTCCCCAACCCTTTTCCCCTCTGGTAACCACAGTCTAAGCTTTGTTTTTTTTCTTTTGTTTTTCTCCCACCTATGAGTGAAACCATACAATATTTGTCTTTCTCCGTCTGTGTTATTTCACTTAGCATAATCGCCTCAAGTTCCATTCATGTTGCAAATGGCAAGCTCTCTCTATTAATTATAAATTTTATTATATTTTAGGCCAGAAGACTGTGAAATATCATTTTTACCTCTTAATAGTTCTCAGGATTTACAAGAAAGGTAGGTAAAAACCTCAATGTAATCTATACATATCTGCCTCTTTCCTTAAAGCATAAAATTTGATATAACCATTAGACTTGTGATCTTTGTTTTTCTAACATATTAGCCAGGAATATGGAATTGTGGAATCCTGCAGAATCAAGCAGGCCATGTAGTTCTTCTTCTGACTTCAGAAACAACCATTTACTCCACTGACTCATCCAACAAGTATTTACTTAGTTCCTGCTTTACACAGGTGCTCGGAATACAATGAGTCAGTGAAATAGCAAGATAAATAAAACCTATAGTTTCTGTCTTCATGAGTATTTTAGTCTTCTGTGGCATACAAAGCCACACAATGGAAGTACTCTAATATTATAGTCAATGTTACTAATAATACCATAAATAAATCAACACGTTATAAGATTCACAGACTTTGCCTACTTTCTAAGAAAATATTTGAAATATGATATTGGGTTCTCTAATTTTCTCATATTTGATGGATGCTACTTCCATGTATGATGTGTTTTGTTTTTATTTTTTTGCATTTTTTGTTTTAGGGAGGCACAGGGATCTCCCAAATCTGGTAAGTCTAAAACTATCTCTTGGAGAACTGAGTCAGGCTTTATTGAATTTTGCTTTTGTGAGTGAAAATAATTGACATCTTCATTACCTATAGACTGTAATGGTCACTGGCGAGTGATCCGGGGGCAGTTCTTGAATGTCAGCATTATGGCAATCCCTTGCCTGTGCTCGGTGGCACCTAGAGGCTTGGCACCTAATACCAGGTTAGTGAGCATTTTTATTGAATCCTTCTTACTTTGCTATAACCCCCATTTTTCTTCAGCATGCCACCCTATCTCTTGTCTATACAGAATTTTATGTGGAGGTAATCTGTCTTTGTTTAAAAAGAGATTCTAAAGGATTTGTCTTCAGAGCAGGTTGAGAACAACTTTTAAACTAGAAAAACTGACAATTCTGATCTTTCAGTATCACTGTGGCTAAAATAATATTCCTTGAATTTTATTGATGTTTTATTATGTTATGCCTACTAGACCTACTTTATGTTTACCAGTTGAGAACACTATATTCAATTTTGATATTTCTTACGACTATCTCTATTTTCTAGTTTTAGTGCAGACATACATATGCTTTTCATGCTAAGGGATATTTAAGTATACCCGATACCTTTAGGCAAAGGAAACATTTCAGTTATATTTATGTGAATAGTGGTACATGTGAATCTATTGCCCACATTTTCTTTACAATAAATCTATATTTTATATCATTTTTAATCTACAAAAGATATTCTGTATCTTGTATGTTCTTTTTAAGCAGCTATCCATTTTTTTTAATTTTATTTTTATATTCCCCATACAATTGCAACCCCCTTATTTTGACCCCATCCCTCCTTTCCCCGCCACCCCACTCCATAGTGTGTCTCTGGTTCATAGTTGTTTGTTGATTTTGATTTTTTCTTTCCTATAGTTATTCTTTTTCCTGGTCCCTTATTTAGGTTTTCTAGATTCCTGCTCTGAGTGAGACCATCCAGTATTTTTCTTTTTCTTTCTGGCTTATTTCGCTGAGCATGATCCCCTCCAGCACCATCCATGTTGCTGCAAATTGCATGTGTTTATCTTTTTTGAATGCTGAGTAATATTCCATGGTGTATATGTACCACATCTTCTTGATCCAGTCATCTATTTTTGGGCATTTGGGTTGTTTCCAAAGCTTAGCTATTGTAAATAGTAAGCAGCTATCCATTATTGGTCCAAAAATATTTCTCTCCCACTCCTATAGAGAGTAGAGGAAAGGATCATAAATATTACTATATAGTTAAATCTAGATACTTTAGCTGGAAGTGAACGAATAACTTTGTACTTTGCTGATTATTTAACTCTATTTAAATGATGATTTTCAACTTTCCTGTAGAATGATTGTTAGCAAACTGGGTAGAATCAAAATTTCTCCTTGGCAATGGAAATGAAGATATGTGGGAAGAAGAGTCATATGTACCATTATTCAGACTCAATAGAGCTTAATATTCAAAGTTAAAGATGAAAAAGTGGGATTATAGACTTTGATGTTAAAAATCCAGATGCCAGAAAGCAATATCTGAAGCTTGTGTAATATAGTAATTGAGCCTTATTATCCATCCCTCAGCCCCCCACCCCACCATACCCTCAGAAATCCAAGTGTTGTGCTTCCTTTATGTAATCTACCCCACTGAAAGTGAAGAGCTGGCTAGCAGCTGAATCAGGGGCTGTGTTCAACATGACTAGATAATGCTTATCTAAGCCCCCTCCCCCTGACCTTCACGGGAGGTGGCCTCTTCTGAGTACAGTCCCTCTCAGCTTGCCTGGAAGTCCAGTGCTTACTCTCCAAATTTAATCAGATTAATGAAATTTTCAGAGAAGGATGACTAGAGATCTTTTGTGTGGATCACAACCAAAGGTCCTATTTTTGCAGAGGACTTTACACTGAGTCTTGGCTGACCAGAGATAGAGATGAATGTACCTTCTGAGTGATTCAGGATAATTATACCAGAGATAATTTTTCCTCAGATAAGTTTCATTTACTTCAAAATATCTGTTTAAATTGCTGATAAGAACTAATACGCTTACATTAGTATTCTAAGATTAAACTCACCATCACATAAAACATTTAGAACAGATCCAGAGACATGGGGTATATTTCAATTAGTAAAAGTATAGAAAAGCAGACATAAGATATTTTTCATGTTTGAGTAAAAATTAAGCAACCTTTAAAAGTAAAGGATGCATAAAACACTACCCTGAACATTTGCTGCTGTTTGTTTTGGTTGGGAGGGGCTGGCTTGCTGGGTAAAGGGAGCATTGATTGGGAAGGAAGAACTCTGGTCCCTGTTGTCTTTTCTGTTTGCTTTTTAATAAGTCACTTAAACTTGGGATATTCATTTTTCTTTTACATAAAATGAATGGCTAAAAAATCTTCAAGCTCTCATATCTCTAAGCTTTGATCAAACAGAAGGAGATTTTTTTTATGTCATCATTATTCTTGGAATAACTTTACATTTGCACTGAAATAAAACTAGATAGAAGTCATGTATTTCTGTACAATGCCTTCTAAAGCTAGATGTATTTGTGACTGGCCTTTTGGGACTAAATCACCCCTCTAAATTTGCTGTCTCTTGTATTGAACCAGTTACTTAAGATTAAATGCCCGGTCATGTAAATGAACCCAACTGGCAGCATTTTTTGCTCCATTGCATCCATCCAAGGCCACTTTGACTTACTTACTTAGTGTCCCAAGTCACCTAGACCTTAACATAAGTAAATATTTAAGTCACTTTAGATTTGGAAAGTGTTGAACTATTTATTAATACAAATGGTATAACAATTTTACAGAACATTTTAAAAATGCACATAGTTTCACATGTACAATTCCTAAGTAAATAGATTTTTAAATTCTATCTTGATATGTGACTAGAATACATAGTAGTTTGTTTAAGTTCTTAATGTAAGAACTTGCTGAGGAGTCAGCTGTCTAAAAATAACTGATTTGAAAGCTGTGTCCTTTAAAAAATAACACAGCAAGGTACAGCTTAAGAATTTTTGGTAAATTTAATGTGATTTATGTCACCCAAAGCTTCTAGTAAGCATATTTGTTAGGAGGAATGAAATGGAGTAATTTTTGATGTGATATTGTAATGAAATTTTTGCTGTTAAAATAATTTCAGATTAAATAATGGAAGTATGGCTCTTATAGTTGCACGAAACACTTCTCGACCAGAGTTCATAAAACACCTGAAAAGATATGCCAGTGTTAAAAATCAGGTATAGTAAAGTTATTTATTTACAAATCTGTATTAATCATGGAAAGAGATACTCTGTAAGAGTTGACATCAAGTCTAGCCTTGTTTTCTTAATTTATTAATCTTTTTTTCCATCAGTAGTATTAGTGCATATTAGCCTGTATTTAGCTAGGGGTGAGTGGTTGTATACATGCTTTTTGTCATTGTTGCTCTTTGTACAGAAAAAGTAAAAAATGGAATGTTTTATTGAAATGTGAGTTAAAAAATGAAATGACATACCAGAGTGTTTTATAACATGGAAAGTAGTGAAACTTGAGATTTTTAGCCTTCTTGATTTTATGGCAGCAAATTTCCTCTAAAGCTATGACCTTCAGCTTTTCCTGCCATTTGTTGATTTATGTTTAAAAATATATCACTTTCTGAAACATGATTTTATTAAAAACTAGAACATGTGGCGACAGATTATATTTTGTTTTATGGGCTTTGTTTGAAAGAGACCTAATTTGTAGGAGATGGATCCTGGATATATGTGAATGTCTGATATGGTGAGTCTTGAGGTATATAGGTAAAACCCTAGCATCTCACACCTTCTTCAAGTATAAAATGTGTTTAGATGTAGTTGGGCGAGAACAAATGAGGTGAGTGTATGCAGCCAGGGACTAGCAGCTGTGTCTTTGGTCAGAGTTAGCCATTGCATATCTCCCATTTCTGTCTCTGCAGACAGTGCCATTGTTGTTTCCAGCTGCAGAACAGAAAGTGAGGCATGCCTTGGTCCCTGGGGACCAGTCTTCCCTTGCCTGTGGCCCTAGAGAAGGCTGATGAAGGTGGGGGCCTTTGGTCTCAGGTCCCAAGGACTTGGGAGCATCCTCCAGGGCCAGGAAGTGGCTTTACAGTTTCACAGAGCAAATTTCAAAAACTTTCTGTAAACCTACAAGCTTCAATGAATTTCAGAATTTTTACGTCAAGCTATAACATATTAGGACTAAACCTCAGGTCACATACATAAACTGAAATAGTTATTGTATACTTCTACTAAAAAGCTATTTGATAAACTTTAGTAAAAGAATTATTTCTCTTAGACCAATAAGAAAATTGAAATTTTAAGGTTACCTTGTGCCATTCCAGAGTGCTAACAGTTAAACACAACTATCCTGCAACTTTTGCAACCTAAAAAGTAAGGATGAAGCAGGCAAATGTTTGTGAAAACTACTTTGGCTTGAGCTTTTTCATCTTCGTAAATTTGGACATAGGTGATTCTTAAATTCCATCTCTAAACCTTACACTACAGTTAGCTTTACATCAGCTAAACTAATTCACAAAATAATGAAGTCAGTGGAATATATAAATCTTCTGTACCAATATTTTAATTGAAAAATTATTTTATTGCATATACATTACTTGTCAGAAATGTATTTACCAATTACTAAATCGCCCAACAAAACTTCCTTCCTGAAAAGAAACCCCTAGGCATGAGTAAAGTTTCAAAGCATAAAAACATCTGCATTTGTGTTGATATTGCCAGAGAGAGAGAGCAGTGAACTTTCATTTGTTTTATTTAGTTCAATTTTCCATTTGTTGAGACTTACACTGTTGAAGAAGTAAAGGTTCACCCAAGGAATACTACCAGTGGGCACAATCCAGGCGAAGAAGATAGACCACAAGAAATTGCTTCAGAGTTGAGTTTCCCTTGGAATGTAGACGGTGATTTAATGGAAGTTGCATCAGAGGTCCACGTTCGGTAAGTCTAATTACTTCACCATTTTAGGTGGCCAGCGGTAAGCATAAGTCACCTTCTTGTCACTATGAAGTTAGCCAGTTGGCTAGATTGTTTTAATTAGTAAATCAGGGAAGCATAAAAAAGACACATGCACAAAAAAGTGTACCTCTTCTTAGAATATATACAGATAAAGATCTTAAATCTTGTGAAATCGTCCTAGTAGCAGATAGTTACAATTTAATGCCCCAGTGTTTTACAATTTTCTTTCACACATAAGGAATGCTTCATGTTCAACAGTTTGTTTTTATCAAGTCTTCTAAAGCATTCAGCGTACTTTGCATAGAAACAACTTTACATATTATTTAATTAAATAATAGCAATATGTAGAAACAGGTTTAGGAATAGGCAGACATATTCTTGGTAAGCATGACTACTCACTCAATGGATGGAAAAAAATGCAGGGGTGAGTTGTGTAGCCTATTAAATGTGAGCGTTCCCCAGACAATGAAGGACATTATCAAGGAAGTTGGTTTAGAAAGATGTATAGTACTAATCCCTAGGGCTGATTTATCAGGACCTCTGTTTTTCTAGATTGCAGCCATTTCATACATTGCCATGGAATACATGTTCGTTGGCTACTATTAGATTTTATTTTTGTATTATTTGTATTTTTTTAACAAAAAAAATTTGTAAATAGATGTGTGTCATACTTAACACATGTACGCATGTAAAATAGGTTGACAAAATAATCATTTATATTCTTTTCTCTATAGACTGCATCCAAGACTTATCAATCTTTATGGAGGAAGCATGGAAGAAATGAATGATTCCAAAGTAACATGTAATTGTTTATAAGATAAATGTGTAGATTAGAATTTTAATATGAAAAAACACAGGCATAGCTATTGTAATAGTTTAAAATCACTATTTTTGATATTAAAAATTAGCTTCTAGGATTTAAAAACAAATTCTGGTTTAGGAAAGGTATTTAATCATCATCACATATCAATATTTAATGTAGAGAATTCCAAAGACAAAGCTTCTTTCATTTTCCAGGATTTGAATTCATCACTTGTAATATTAACAAACCAAGAGTTACTGACAAGGTACCTAAATTTCAAAATTATACAGATATTTTGAAAAAAGATATGATTTGCAAAAAAACCCAATTTTTTGTGAATATTAAAGTTGAGCATGGCTGATTTTCTTAACAATTTTAAAAACCTACCATTTTAAATACAGGTAGTGTTACAGTTCATATCTAACTGGGAAAAAATCTCGCCCAGTAGAGAACTATGTTATCTGGCAATTTCTGAAATGGAAAAGAAACACATTTAAATTTCTTCAGGGATCATACCTGACAAGGATGTTCTGGACTGGTTTTGGTTTCCACCAATAGTGCAATACATTCTCCTGAGAGACATATATTTTAATGGATGCTTTTTAAGGAAAAGTTTTCGATTTTTTGTCTGTGGAGACACTGAGTTTAAGAGCCTTCAAACTCACTGTGATTGGTTTTTGCCACTCAAGCTCTCAAACACCTTCACAAATCGAGCACTTGTCACTCCAGCCACCAAATACATCAACTTTCAGGAGTTAGGGAAAAGCCTCCACCAACAGCGGTCTGCCTAACAGTCAGACTCCCCACTGGTCACCATATAAGAGGCAGATTTTCAAAATTATAAAGACAAGAATATAGGACAATTCTGATGAAATAAATATTACCATAAAAGAATAAATGCCTTTTGTACTTGCAAATTAAAGATGAGACTACTTCATTAATGAACAAAAGAACTTAAAAATGCATAGCAGGTGTAAATCTGTACTTTTACAGTGAATTTTGCTTCTCCATTTCCATGAAGAGAACTCTTATGTGTATTTGCTTGTAAATATTTTATAGATTCTAATTTACATGAGATTCTGGTCTTTGCAATTTTGCTTTTTAAAAATTGCTAGTGAGGTACAGTTATGTTTTATACATAAAGCCAGTATATTTATATTTCAAATATCAGCTAAAGTGCAATATTTACAATGTTTTCAGAGGTTTTTTTGGTGTGAATTTACTCCTAGTTATCCTTAATAAAAAGTGTATCAAAGGAGAACTTGCACCTAAATGAACATATATTCTTAAAAAAACTTCTGTATTATACATAAATAATCTCATTAAGCTCAAACCACTGTATAAATTTGGTCTAATTTTTTCTCGCTAACAGCCATGATTTGTAAAATACTAAATAAACCTTTTAAAATAATGATTCCTTTATTCATTAGAAAATATTTCAAACAAATCTCAAATATTATTTGAAATGAACCATCACCCAATGCAGTTACCAAGGCAAGACATATAGTAAGTAATTTCTTTTAAAATGACAATATTTCTAGTCCAAAACAAATTTAGATGCATTATTTTAAGGTATCTTAGAAGAATTACCTTGAATGGAGTGAATACTTTAGTGTTTTTGTTTAAACAGTTGAAAATTTATCTTTGGATATATTAAATATTACCTTTGCAGTTATTTTTTTCTCCAGTATAATCACTGCCTGGATTTTCCATTTACCTTTACACAGATGTCACAGAATCGTGAGTAAAAGAATAACACAGAAGTCTGAGCAAAATTCACATTTTTTGATAAAAACGTTTTCTTTACCCTGAGGTTGTTATTAGTTTTCGCAATTTGAAAGAAGTCTTTAATCATTTCTACTGTTCACATAACTCCAACTGTCTCTTCTGTTTTCTTCTTGTAGAATAGATTTGTACTGTCTTTTAAAGAAGCCAACCTGAAAATAGCATTGCACAGTCACTAGTGTTTAGTTATTATGGACATTATACTCACATTAAACAACATTATTTTTAAACAGCTTCCCATGTGATCAGTGAAAGTTAACTTAGGAAATACTGGGTTAAAAAGCATTTGCTGGGCCTCCCCGGTGGCGCAACGGTTGAGCGCTGGGTTGCGAAGCTGCCCGCAACTTCTGCAGTGCCAGTTCGATCACTGGGCGAGGGTCCCACATGGCGCACAGACCTCTCCTGCCGCCCGCTGCTCCCCTCAGCAGTGTACTTCGTCAGTCTGCCTACTCTGCTCTCCCCTCTGGCTTGAGTGAATACTCTCACCCTCCCACTGTACCCAGTGCTTGTATAAATAAATCTTTTTTTTAAAAAAAAGCATTTGCTGTTACTCCAGTGCATCTCAGTGACACTTTCAAGTGCTTTTTAAAGTATTTCAAAACTACACCTCTATTTTGAACATTTGTTGAAAAATACTCCTTCTTAAAAGATAACTTATTTTCTAGAAAGACTTTAATACTGAGTTTAGGATAAACGTGAATCAGTACTTACGCATGCACTCTGAAAGCCACAAATTGACTTTGAGGAAAATCAAGAACAGCATTTAGAGCACTTTAATATTGATTATTAAAGGCTTACCTTCCACATGCCATAGGAAATCAATAGAAGTAAAAGAAGTCCAAGCACCAAGCTACTTGACACAATCGCTATTGTGAAAACACGTTTGGGTCTTTGATGATGTACTCCTTCAAGCAGAATCTAAGTAAATTAACCAACATAAACAACCATCACTTTAAAAACTTTCTTGTATTTCCTTTGCAGTACCCCCCACAAGCCCCAATTGTTTCGAGAACACCCACCAATCCTGTTCTTCCTCTGGTTCTAATATAGCCACAGGAAACAATGGGCTTTTTTCATGGTTCCACCCCACTTTACCAAGTTCACCTCCCAGAGGAGCTGTGTCATTTCCTCTTGCCAATTGTGGAAAACATTATTTTCTTGACTTAGGTACTCAATAGGAGATCATTAACAATCTAGCAATGCTTTTGTCACTGCAATCTTAAAATTTCAGTTAAAATGTTGATCTTACGTGTGCAACATTCTCTTCCTTGTTCAGTTCAATAACTTTAGGATTTGGCTCTGGAAAGGCTGTTGCTCTTATATCAAGCTTGAGTGCTGAACTCTCATCCTGTTTAATGTAAGAAAGAGCACCAGAGTCAGAGTAATTTCATTGAAGTCTTTTGAATATTTGTTAGTCACCTGTGCATGCATTTTCCCTGGATGTTGAATTTTTTTCCCCAAAGTTTTCTTCCTCAAAGTGGACTTTTTTTGTATACTTAATATTGTAATGCGCTCAGAGATTTAATTTAATGCAGACTTTAAATTTCCAAGCTCCACAGCTTCTAAGGAATTTTTGAAGTTACATGAGAAATTCCTTCAAATCGAAACTCACTGGGGAATGCAGTCTTTAGATTCTTAGAGGACTATAACATTTAAAAGTAAAAACTACCATGTTTACATGGTATTTAATGTATTATGTACATCAAAAGGGATATTTTTGTCCCCTAGAGGACAGTTAACAATGTCTAAAGATACCTTCTCCCCATCAGGACTTGGGAGGACATGCTACCAATAGAGGCTGGGATGCTGCTAAATATTCTCTACTGCTCCTGTGATGCCTCTGACAAAGAATTCTCTGTCCAATATGCCAGCAGTGCTTACTACACTGTTGAGAAACCTCGACTTCTAGAGTATAAGAATGCAATCTAAGGAAGTTGAACTGTAAGTTGATGGTCCCATGACATGTTTTAGCATAATGGGAACTTTCACACAAAACCAGACATCTCATAGTTCCAATATTCCTCTTAACAGAATAACTGCTATGCACATTAGTACTTTATAAAAGGTATTCCACTTAATCTATGAAAGTTCTAAAAAGAGATTATCCATATTTATCATCTATGGGAGTAAATAACGATTCCAGATAAAATACTTTCCAAAGTACTTGTCAAAAATGTGTACTTTGGATTTCCCTGATTACAAGTGATGTTGAACATTTTTTCATATGCCTGTTGGCCATTTGCATTTCCTCTTCGGAGAAGTTTCTTTTTAGCTCTTCTGTCCATTTTTGACTGGATTATTTTCTTTGTTGTTGTTGAGTCTCATCAGCTCTTTGCAGATTTTTGTGATCAGTCCTTTATCATTAGTGTTGGGTGCAAAAATGTTCTCCCAGTCGGTGGGGTTTCTCTTTGTTTTTGTTAAAAAAAACTAGCAACAACAAATGTTGGCGAGGCTGTGGAGAAAAAGGAACTCTCCTGCACTGTTGGTGGGAGTGCAAACTGGTCCAACCACTATGGAGAGCTGTGTGGAGATTTCTGGACCTACTAAACATAGAGCGTCCATATGATCCAGCAATTCCACTCCTAGGTATTTACCCAAAGGACACAGAAACATCAACTCCAAAGAGCACCTGCATGCCTATGTTTAAAGCAGAACTATTTACAATAGCTAAGCTTTGGAAACAACCCAAATGCCCAAAAATAGATGACTGGATCAAGAAGATGTGGTACATATACACCATGGAATATTACTCAGCATTCAAAAAAGATAAACACGTGCAGTTTGCAGCAACATGGATGGCGCTGGAAGGGATCATGCTCAGTGAAATAAGCCAGAAAGAAAAAGAAAAATACCGGATGGTCTCACTCATAGCAGGAATCTTGAAAACTTAAATAAGGCCCCAGGAAAAAGAATACTATAAGAAAGTAAAAATCAAAATCAACAAACAACTATGAACCAGAGACACTCTATGGGGGGTAAAGGGAGGGGAGGAATTGGGGTCAAAATAAGGGGGTTGCAATTGTATGGGGAATATAGAAATAAAATTTAAATTAAAAAATGTGTACTTTGGGAACTTCAACCTTTCAAAGTTTTCCTAAAAAGACCTTATCCATAACAAAATAAATATATAGTAACTAAACTACTTCTTAAAGTCATTAAATGTAGCCACTTTCTTGGATTTAATCAATACCCAGCTGGGCATGCTTTGTGAAATCTAATTACTCCAGAGCCTATTTTAGAGCCGTATCTTTTTAATTACTGAATTATTATTAGTCATTGTATTCACAGGTGAACTGGTAAGTAGAAACAGTTTGGATTTCACTCCATATTATTTCTCAATTATTTGAATGCTTCCATGCAAACCATTCTACCTATAACATGATTGAAATTGTAGATTCTAGCTGAACTTATTCATACAGTTGTCATTTTATTTTAAACTCACCATTTCCAAAAGGGATGGTCGGCCTTCCAGCTGAATATGAACACTGGCTTCTTTTCCACTCTCCATTTTTCCAAAATTGCATAAGAAACTTAAACAATATGGGTCAACTTTCAAGCAGGACTTGGAAAAAAAAATAAATCTTTTTTTAAAAAAATAATAAAATTTTAATATAGTTTATTTATTTATGATTTTAAGAATTGGGGTACAGGCCAGAGGTGAGAGGATTCACCAGAGAGAGAGCAGGGAACAGAACAGGCAGATAGACTGAAGTGCACTGCTAAGAGGAGCACCAGGCAAGACAGCACCAGGGATTGAACAGGTGCTGCAGACAGCTTCACAGCACTGCGCTCAACTCCTTCTGCCACCAGGGAGGTCCAAAATTTCATTACTTTTTAAAAAAGATGGCTAAAACATTTTACATGGAATTAAAAAAATCTCCCCTCAGTGGCATTTACAACATTCCCTGCTTTAAACAAAGTACTTGAACTGGAGCATGTGCTTTCATTATTTTCATGAACTTAACATTTTGACAGATTTTAAACATGCTTCCTAATCAGAGTCAAAAGATTACTTCCTTAGTAGTGTTCCCGCTGTATTGAATTCATGAAGGAAAACAAAAGTGAAAATTTAAGGCTATTCAACTGAAGATAGCATCTTGAGCTTATGAAGGGTCTACTATAATGTCTGTCTTGAGCAAAATGGACATTTGTTAGACAAATAAACTGCATAGTATAAATTTACCATGGGTCTATTTAAACCCTGAAATCATATCCGTTTTTCACATACACAAACATTACCTGATTGTTTCTCTTCTACCCTCAGTTGATAGCTCAAACCCAAATTTACCATGGGTCTATTTAAACCCTGAAATCATATCCGTTTTTCACATACACAAACATTACCTGATTGTTTCTCTTCTACCCTCAGTTGATAGCTCAAACCCATTAATGCTTGGTTTTAAGTATTTAACAGCAAATACTATACACAACAAACTTACCAATAGCATCTTATCAGTCTTCGAAAAGAACATGACTATGTCTTTCATGGTCTCCAATGCACTTTTTTGCTGTTCTAATGTACACACTCTTTGATAATTCTTAAAATGGCATTCTCCAACACTAGTCTATAAAGATAGAAAGCAAAAAAAAATAAATCTCATTCAACATTGGATAGAATAAAAGCAACATGATTTAAAAAGTTCCAATTTCCTAATTATCTTTTCTAAAATATACACTACATCTGAAATTGTGAAAATATTGACAATTTTCAGGGGAGATATTAAATCTCCATGGCAAAAGGCAAAATTTTAAAGAAGAATATAAGCTCTAAACTGATCAAATAGTTTTAAACTTTTGGAAATAAGTACAACGTGAAAATGGACATTTGAACATTACCATGAAATTAAACATTTCTTTGGCTCTAGATACAACATATGTTATGACAGCATATCTTACCACTTAACTCTAATTCAAGTAATATTTTAAATATTAGAACTCAAACCTCCTTAGCAAGTTTATTTGATTGCTTGTCTTGAAGCTGGGAAGGTAAAAACAATTCTAATAGAATCATCAGTACATAAATACTGGCTTTTAAGTACTGGTTCTTCAACAGCAGTCTCAAGTTTTAAGGAGATTTCTATCAATTATATTACTTTTCCATATCACAAATGTACTGAAGATGGTGGAGACCTCTTATTGTAGAGATCAGATCCAGAGGTTTCACTGTACTCCTGTAGTTCTAATGCAATCTATAGAATTCAAGTATACTCAACAAGTGCATGGTAAATTCAGAGCTTAGATCAAGTATGATTGAAAATAAATGTACAGAACTCTCCACTTCAGGAATACTATTTAGAAGAAAGGAAAGTTTTACCTGGACATACAAAATGTTGAATAGCTCATGGGTACGGGGCATAATTGAATTTGGCACTGCTATCTCCACACTGACATTTGGAGCCATGCTAGGGCCAGTGTTGATAACCTGAGAAAGAAAAATTTTACAATTATCCAACTAGGTGAACCAATATTTTATTATTCACCAACTAAGGAAAATGCTAATCTCTCTTATTATATACAAGGTGAAAGTTAAAGAGGTACAGGATTACCAAAACCAAAGTGCTCTAATTCCTATGATGTTTACTTCTCAGCACCGAGTGATTTGGGGAGATCACTGTGTAAACTGCATTTTAATTCAGAGTACTTACAATGCTAATGTAATTAGAAAGTCAAAAAGTTTTTAGAGAACATGCAAGTTTTTAATCATAATGACTAAAAGAATAGATATTTCATTATTGCTGATAAATGTAAAGATTGCAGATCTCCCTCCCCCCCCCCAAAAGAAAATGAGCCAAGAGTTCTCCTTCTGAGAGCTTAAACCAATATAGTCAGACAAGAGATGTGCCACAGCATTTAAATGACCTGATTCAGATTTGCAACTTTTGAAAACATACGACATGGATGAAAAGAGTGTCCATGCTTTGTAGCAGGTTCTAGCTGCTGTAGGGCAACGTGAGCAATGGGTATCCAGCAGTGCCCAGACCTTTGGACAAGGTCTTCCTGATGACAGCAAATCTATCTAATCTACAACATTCTTTTTTTAAAAAGATTTATTTATTTATTTATACAAGCACTGGGTACAGTCAGAAGCGCGGGAGGGTAACAGAATTCACCAGAGCCAGAGCAGAGAGCAGAACAGGCAGAGTGACGAAGTACACTGCTGAGGGGAGCAGCGGGCGGCAGGAGAACTCTGTGTGCCATGTGGGACCCTCACCTGTTGACCAGGGATGGAACCGGCGCTGCAGAGGCTGCGGGCAGCTTCGCAACCCAGCGCTCAACTGCTGCGCCACCGGGGAGGCCCCTAACCTACAACATTCTTTACCATTGTTCACCCAATCACAGTTAGACTTATAAAAATGCCATAATTGGACGGACTTAACCAAGCCCACACACTAGAAGTATCTATGGTTCCATTCACCACCCTCCCTCCATCATAACTAGAAATTAACTAAAGACGCTTGTTAATTTTAAATTAAAAACAGGCTCTCTAGAGTTCAGCTCACATTGGGCAACAGCACAATTTGTGGGTATGTCAAGGTGGAAGCTATATTTTTTTAGCACTAGGGTAATAAAAACATGAATGTACTTTTAGTCTCAGTAGGACTTCAAGGTCATTATTCCATAGATATGGGGCAGGGTCCAGGAATTTGTATTTTGTATTAACAGATCTGATAGGCATTCTGAATAGCACTGCCTTACCAAATATCATGTATCTTATCCACATTCATGCATACTCTATGGATTCTTATATACCTCAATGTTTGGACAGTACTTTTGGTTCCAACAATATTTTTGTGGCCATTATCTCTGTTTACTCATCATCAATATCCATGCTGCACCAAAAAGCTGGTTGACAGTAAAAAATGTTTTACATGAATACTTAGCTTTCAATTACAATATTTTACTTCTGGATGATGATAGTAGTCTACTTTTTAATTTTTTATTTAATATTTAAAAAAGAAGCATCATTTGTCACAGAATATTGTTTTGGCCTGAAAGAAAGACTAAGTGGACCCTGAATGGAGAAGCTGAAGTAAGCGTTTACTTTACATGGCCATGTTAAGGCTTGTGTGAAGCTTGATCCAAGCAGAGTTCTGATTTGCACCTGGAGATATCATGCTTTCAGCATGCATCTCTAACCGGTTTAGCTTCTCTAGTAACTTTGCCTTTTTAGTATCACCTCTATTCCTTCTTGCTCTTTACAACTTGCATTGTAAGGAGGGGTAAACTTCAGTAGCAGGGACAAGACAAATGAGAGAAAAAGAACATAATCCCCAGAGGAAAAGTTATATGTAGCCTTTTCCTTTTGCTACCACCCCCTCATACCCTCCATCGGGGTCCTGATCACCCTGACTGAGGGACATCACAGCTGTATGCCGTGCTCTGCAATGAGTCAGTATTCTCTCAGCCTCTTACAAATATCAAGACAAGCAACTTACATGAAAAGTGAAGTTCATTTTCTCCTCCATGCACATTTCAGGTTCATTTTCCTCCGTTGGTCCATACACAAACGAAGTTGGATTTACGAACCTAATAAAAAACAAACTTAATTTCACCTTTTCATTTGATGAGGTATTAGATACAAGTTTTTCTTTTTAGAATGGAGTATAGCATATCTTTTAATTATGCCATAACCAGAATATAGGTTTCTCCTAAACACCATGGGGTACTTTTGGTTTCTTTGTAAGATAAGCATTTCAGTAAACTGTAATAATATGAGAAAACCCAGTGCTTGGACTAGAGTGACAGCATCTCCTTGTCTTTCCATCATTGCCTGGTACATTCAGCTTACCATTCCTTCCTTGTTAATCCTTAAATGGTTGATGTAAATTAGAAAATTATGAGAAAATCCTTTTTCCCTAGAGTTCCAATATCTTCCCTATATCTTTATCTTGCCTATTAATTTGTTCACATTCCGTGATTCCTGCTGGTTACTTATGAATGAACCCCAAGTCTTGGGAAAGAGTTAAAAACTAGTGAGTGTGGTAAATTTTTGTTAGAATACAAGCTTGGTGCTCTTTTACTTGTGGTTAGACATATACAGTAGGTATTAAACTTTAGGAGATATTCTCCTAGAGAAATACTAACTCAACAAGTTGCTCATATTGGGCAGGTAATATCAAATGAGAAGCCCATTTCACAGGAAAGCAATTAGAAATATTCAAATGGTTTCCATTTAGGTAGTTTAATAGTTGCAGAGCATTCCTTGCACAAAATAACAAGATATGCAAGAAGGGAAAGTGAGCAAAACATTCAAAATCAGACAACATGCTATACACCATTAGCTTTTTCTTGCTTACCCACTGACTTTCTAAGTCCTGCTTACCACTTGAATGGCTTTCTCTCCAACTCCTTTGCTGGATTTATCTTACACACTTGATACGTCATTCCACTAGTTTCAAACACTGACATTTTTATGATTTATTCCATCTTTAGATATGGTTTATACTTAGAGCAATAAGAAAAGCTCATCTTCCATTTGTCTATGTTTTGCTTTTAAAATGTGGTTTTAAAATAAGTTTATATATGGGGCCTCTCTGGTGGCACAAGGGGTTAAGACGCAACCTAAGAAACTGTTCGCAGCCTCTGCAGCATGAGTTCAATCCCTGGCCTGCCAGGGAGCAACCCACATGACGCGGCATCTCTCCTGACTCGCCCGCTGCTCCCCTCAGCAGTGTATTTTGGTCAGTCTGCCACTGTTCTGTTCCCCACTCTGTCGCTGGTGAATCCTCTCACCCCCTATGCCTCTGGCCTGTACCCCAGTTCTTGTGTGAATAAATAAAATAAGCTTATATAATTCCAAGTAAAACCATTAAAAGTTTCCTTAATATCTCATTCATTCATTCATTCATTCATTCTTGAAACAGAAGAATTCACACCAACAATTACTAAACTCATGAGGAATCAGTGAATGCGGGCTCTGTCACTGTGGGTGAAGAACTCTGTAAATTAGGTAATAAGGAGTGGAGAAGAGTCCCTTGCAGCTGCCCCTCACCTCTCAATCTATTTGCCACAGGGGCTGACACAGGTTCTGGAGAGAAGTGATTTGGTCCTGCCCATGCATCTTTGAATGTCACTCTGGCCATGACCACTGAGTATAATCATGTAAAATGCACACTACCCAAGGCCAGGGGTCCTGGCCTGCCTACCACATAGCTGAAAGGCTTATAGGGCTCTTCCAGTAAGAAATCTAGTCTAGCTGGCATTAGTTCGATTTGGTCTAAGTGATGATTATACTGTGGATTAAAATAATAAGACACTAAGCAAGGAACTATTAACACCAAGGTAATTATGAAGAGATAGTTACAGCATAGGATCTTTTTAATTCCTTTACAAAGATTTTTAAAAGATGGTTTCGACCAATAATTGAATTCAACTGTAGGGGAGTTCTCTATCTACTTACCCATGAACACTTAGCATAACCTCATACTTCAGAGGAATTGCTAAAGTCACTTTATTTTGCTTCAGATTGTCCATTTCCCCTTCATTTTCACTATGAATAAAACAAAAAACACCCTATTAGACTCCATCCAGCACAGAAATCATCTTAGAGAGAAATCATTACTACATGCCATGTATACTTAATACATCTGCAATAGTGCTTTTTGGCGAGTAGAAGTAAAAGCAGAAGTGGTAGTAAAAATTTTTAATGACAAGCCTGGAAGAAATTTGCTCTCATTATTTAAATTGCTATTTACTTCTATGCTGGCTAGAGGGTTTTTTTTTTTTTTGGTGGTTTCTTGAATCTTGTAAGCGAAATTTTCTATTGCAGACAATAGAACACGGGCTCATGGTTCCCCTAAAGTCTCCCACCCCTCCCAGGATGGGTCCACCTCCTTTAGTACAATTATTTTTCACAACAAAAGATACCAGGTGGCATGCACTGTGATGTTGAGGTCCTCTTCTGCTCTGCTGAGTGAACTTGCATCCAGGAGAAAGCTAACGTCTACCTGTAAAATCACATAGGGAAAGCCCCTTTTTATAATCTGAAGTACACATTCTATAATTTGAATTTAAAAATTAAAATTTTTGTAACATCTTATGGTCTGTGAAATGCAGAATCAAACTGTTTTTATAGGCATTGGCTAGTCCCTACACCAGGTGCTAGCTCCAGAGAAGCTGCTGAGTTAGTGGCAATCTTAAAACACCAGCGTTTCCACAAGTGATATTCAGAGACAAAGCCTCTTTTGAATGTAAAGACAGGCAGGTCCAGACTGACAAAATTAGAGATGCTTTAACAACTTGAGCGAGGACTCTTGCCAGAAACACCTTTTTTATATAGCAGAGGTAACATGCCTGGAAGACAGGGCCACCTGGGGTGGGGTGGGGGAGTGTTGAGTAAGGGCGAGACAGGGAGCAGAATTGTGATTGACACACTCACATGCCCATCTTGACATAAACATGTCCCCCCTCCCACTTTGAACAGTGAACATTGCCAAGAATATAAACACAAGCTTAAAGATCTCAAGCCCAGTGGCCTTAATTTTATTTCACCACTAAGCTACTCACCCCAAGTTAAAATTTATAATTTTGTATGTAGCTTAAATATAGAAAAAAAGTTACATTCTTGTTAGTAAAAACTTAAAATACTAAGTGCTTACCCTTGATAGATGATCTACATATATATAACCAACACTGCAGTCAAGTTTTACTATGCCAGAGTTGTCTGTTACTTCACAATTTATTTGCTTCTCTTCCTAAAGGGAAAATTGAAGCAACTGGTTTAGATGTGAGAGGAACAAGAATTTTGTAACATATGTTTAAGGGTGGTTTTTGAAAAGAAGATCATCTCTGAAGAATTTGCTTTCCTGGAAGATGATTTTCTGTTTTATTTTTGAGTATAAATAAATGATAGAAATATATGTGTATAGCTTTATTCTAATATTAGCATACATTCTCCACAGAATTATTCCTGACTTGTGGCTTTCATCCATGTTTGTACATTCTCTATTTAATCCAAGGCCTAGTTCCTTGAAAAATCATGAGACAAGGAATTCAGAAGCTCCATTTTTTCATTGGTCCTTTTCTGGCTTGGAGGTGATAATGTGTTAAAGGTAACTGTATATAAACTATTAGCAATAAGATACATGTAAGTTCAATACATACATACTCAAGTATTCAAGGAAGGATACATTTCCATGTGTATGTGTATAGATGAAAATTTCCCAGAATATTTGTTTCTTCTTACCTTTGCAAATAGGAAATAAATAATCTTAAGAAAAAGGGTAATAGATATTTATCTGTGAGAAATCAATGTTTTCAATGCCCTTAGTGTGAAGAAATGGTCTCTGGATAAAAGATGGATAATATGATAAAGAATAGAGAGGCTCAAAAGAGAAAGCATTTGAGGCATTTCTTTTTGAAATTCAACCTTATAAATACCTATTCAACCTTATGAAATCCCATGATGGATTTAAATGCTCATGACTGAAGCACAGTGATTAAAAAAAAATAAGTTTTCAGGAAATGAGAAACTTGTTCTGCAATCTAGCTATCAGGATTTCAGAATTTGTGGAGGATGGCTGATTCTGCCATTTTGGAGATCCTTTGACAGCTGGACAGTGTAAATTTCAAATGCAGAGCAGTAACTCTGGAAAGCCCAGTATGGCAGACCAATAGTGGGTGTGCAGTGACCCCCCACCATGAGGACTATCACAGCCCTAAAGGAGGGTGTACCAGTGAGAAAAGCAGTGGCACTCAAGAAGCTTCTTGGACAACTGAACAATTATTTCACTCATAGCAATATTTGGGGGCAGGAAGTTGACTCGAGCTCAGTTAGACCCCAAGGAACTTGCCATTTTGATCAGGAGTATGGAGGAACTTTTAAAATCAATGGAAGCCCAAGTGATAACCCTAGTATTAAGACTAAAACCCAAGCATTCATACTTCAATTTGAAGGAAATTATACCACCTATCTATTTTTTTTTTAAAGATTTATTGATAGATTGATTTACACATACAAGCACTGGGTACAGTCAGAATCGTGGGAGGGTGAGAGAATTCACCAGAGCCAGAGCAGGGAGCAGAGCAGGCAAAGGGACCGAAGTACACTGCTGAGGGGAGCAGCGGGCGGCAGGGGAGGTCTGCACGCCATGAGGGGCCCTCCTCTGGTGGCCGGGGAGCAGCCGGGGATCGAACCGGCACTGCAGAGGCTGCGGGCAACTTCGCAACCCAGCGCTCAACCGCTGTGCCACCAGGGAGGCCCCCTATCTATTTTTTTAATTAAGTATAATATCATAGTATCATGCTATTATGGTTTTGGTTTGTTGAGGTAAAGTAGGTTTACATCATTATATCTGCTTTGAGGTTTGAGGGTTATAATTTAACCGCTACCTCTACAAATGTATATTCTCACACCCTGTCCACCATCAGTACCCCAAATAATCCTCTACCGTGTTTCTTGGGGCCCCTTCCCTCTCACACTCACCATCTAGTTGCCTAAATTTCAGTCTGATGGTAAAGGTTTTTTTTTTGTTTGGTTTTGCCTGAACCTTTGTTATGTTTTCCTGTACTCCACAGGTAAGTGGGACCGTCCTGTATTTGCCTTTCTCCTTCGACTCATTTCTACTAGTATTATCCTCTCCAGTTCAATCAATATTGTCACAAATAGCAAGAATCCATTCTTTTTTTCACAACTGGGTAATATTCCATTGTATATTTCACACATACACACACACACACACACACACACACAGAGAGAGAGAGAGAGAGAGAGAGAGAGAGAGAGAGAGAGAGAGAGAGATTTTTCTGATCTATTCCTCTATTGTTGGGTATTTAGGCTTGTTTTTGATACTTACCAGATCTAGAATCTTAATGAAATAAAGACCGGAGGGCACTTTGATATGCAGAGTTGTTTCATATGCATCATCTCCAGCATTAAACAAAGATACATTCAACATTAATGTCTTCATACTTCCAACAGCAAGATAGGTTTTGTTTTCATGTGGCCTGAAAATTAAGTAGTATTATTTAGTTGTAGCTGGGAAATAAAAATCCCATCTCATTTATCCTCAAATAAAATACTGATTTGGAAAAACCATGGAAATAACTCCAAGAAAGTAGATGAAAATCCATGTTAAAAAAGAACTCAGTTCCCCATAGCTTTGAAATATTTCCCAAGAACAGGCTTTTAAATAGTTACCATTAAACTTAACTGCTTTCGGTTTTCTTTCCAGTTTAACTTCTGCTTTCTATAATTTTAAGTTTTTCTTCATTATTTCACAATGTTTTTCTAAAAGCAAAGCACATTTCTTTCTTCTTAAAAAATCCTTCAATAGACTGAAACTAGCTGCCACAGAAACCAAGAAACCAAGGAGAAGGAGGAGGGGAATAGAGGGAACTAGGAGAAGAGAAGAGAGAGAAAATTTCCATCAAAATAGAAACTGTTTAGGTAGAACTGAGCCTGTCATCATCGAGGACTACTATGTACAGAAAACAAGTCCAACTAAAATGTGTGGGCTTAGAATTTCTTAAGGTGTGCCGGGTACCTCTACCAATAACTAGACCAACAGAATTGCAGAAATGTTTCACTGCTCGGTGGAGAAGGTGAGCAGGCTGCTGTAAACTCAGATTTAAGTTCTGGCTCTATCCCTAGTTCTTCTGAGGGAGGAGGGCTCACTTAGCCTCTTTTAGCCTCAGTCACCCCATCTGTAATAACTACCATTCAGTGAAGATTTGGGTTATGTACAGTCTATGATATTCTCACAACACATTTATATATTAGGACTTGAGGCTTAAGGAATTTAGCCAAGACCCACTGCTAGAATATTCTCAAGTCTCAAGGTCAATGAAAACTCTTAACCTACACAGTTTATTCTCCCTATTAAAGGATTAGAAGTAATGAACACAAAAGAAAATTTTCAGGATACAGCATGTTATGATTCTGTAAGCTTTCATCATAAACAGATGTTTTTAGATATTCAATGGTAGATTTTTTTTAAATAATTAGATCAACCAGAGAAGGATATGATTAAGGACAGAGTTTAAGAATGGGTTTAAAAATTTTTGCTTTTAAGCATTACCAGAAGATGCATGACTGACAAACTGAACATAAAAGCTCCTGTATAGTAAATCATTATGTTTATTAACTTTGGTACAAAAATAGCCTTGAAAAAGTTTCCACCATTATAGAGCTTGTCTAGTAAAGGACAGACATAAATGTACATGAGTATAAATACAAGGGAAAGTTTATGAATGAAGGACTCTGGGAGACCAGGGCAGGGAACCACTTTTGCCTGGGGTGTCAAAGGCATGTAGTTTCTTGCTTTTCTATTCTTATTACATAGGGTGAGCTGAATGAAGTTTAAAAAAAAAAAAAAAACTCTTTGAATTAATAAAACTCTAAATAAAGCATTTAGGCTCATGATTGAACTTAACTTGGATTATACCCTTAATGCTTTCTCAAATCCTTCTCCAATCCAGTTTTCACATACCAAAGAGGGTCACTTTCCAGAAAGTAAATGTGCCTGCTTAATATCCTGCAGTGCCTTCAAGAAAGAGTCTAACTCATTGGCATGACAAATGAGGCTTTCAAGAACTAGCCTCTGTGTCACTTTCCTCTGCACCACTCACTTGCTTTTAGACAGGTGTGTTCAAACCCTACTTCCAGCAGCTCCTCGACTTTTAACATCTTTCCTCTTGATGCATCTGCCTCGCTTGTACTTGTTCTTCAAGGTTCAGTTTAATGGTAACATCAAATTCTTGAAAGTTTTACAGTTTTTACCCAGCCTAGCATTCCCCCTAACCAAAGTCAGATGGTGGCTTCTTCCAGAGTACCTAGGGCAGCTCTATAAAACATTATTTCCACAATCTGGTTTTTCTCACCACTAGACTACATTGTTCTGGAGAGATGATGGGTCATGACTATTATCATTGTTTTCTCAGGGTCTAGCAATGGAGTATTCAAAAATACAATTGGTATTTAAATGTATCAAACATTAAAGAGGTTTGGGTAACACTAAAGGAACACATGGGGGAAAATTGGGGAAACTATTGGATACATGTTCGCTAAAACTTCATGAATTCATCATTATAAATTCTGTCGAATTATAGTTATATTTATCTGTTCTGTGATGATACACAAATCCTAAAAGTGACACTAAGATAAGGAACATCTATACCACTCATGTGCTCTGTACCCAGCCAATACAACCAATGTTTTAGGAGCAATACAATTCATGGTAACCTCAGTCATAGAGAGAGGTATAGTTTTTGAGAGGTAAAATTATTAATTCTCACGAACATCAGAATATACACACAGGTTACAAAGTTTGGGAATGTTTCTCCACCTGTATGCCTCTAATACAATTTTGTGAAACTGAACAAACAGGTCACTTAAAAGTTCTTCTCCTCTTATCCTGATTTTTTCCATCTTCAACTTATTTACCAAGGCAGAACACACATGTAGAAAAATGCACTATCCTAAATATACAACTCGGTAAATTTTTTAAAACCGAATACATGCAGGAAATCAAGACCCAGACCAAAGAAAACATCACCAACACTTGTGCCCCTCCAGTTGCTGCCCCACCTACCATCTTGCTTTTCCTAGTACAGACTGTCTTTGCCTGGTTTTATAATTTATATAAATAGAACCACAGAATATGTCATCTTTGAGTTTTAGCTTTTCTTTACTCAAGATTATGTGTGTAAGATCAAGCTATATCAATGCATAGAGTTGTACAATGTTTAATTTCATTGGTGAATTTATCCCACTTTGGCAATTCTACTTTGGAGCTATTATATTCCTGTGAGGAACTCAAGTATGTAATTCTGTTGGATCAGTTGCCCTATCAATGAGCAGAGTGAAATGTACAGTTTTTTAATCCAGAATTTTAACCCAGATTTTAATTCCTCAAAATCTCTAAGTCAGGCTAATTTTAGCAATCAGCTTAAATTATATTAACAAACTGCATATAATTAACAGAACACACCATACTTCAAGGAGCTATATTTAAATGACAAAAGATGAAATGTTCCACAGTGTAGAGTAAAAGCAAGCATACTTGGAGCCACTGTGTGAGAGTTTAGAGATGTTTCCTAAAACGCACATTCAGACCTCTGCGGGTTATGGGCTGCCTTGGTGCCACCATGACAGAGCGGAGTAGAAGACACAGACATCACTTTCCCACAAAAAATAACATAGTTACTACTTGTCTTCTCATGAAGAATGCTCTCTGCCATAGAGCAAGCTGTTGAGTATAATAAATTTCAAAATAAGCACAACATATACTATTACTGCATTTAAAAGCTCCATATTCTGACAATAGAGGTTTCATTATTTCACACAGTATGACACACCATTAGGAAGAAGTGACCCCCTCCCCAGAGTCAGAGCTCCTTGACTGATACTCAAGACACTGAGAAGAAAGGAATGAGAACATGTTCATATGCAGCTTCTCTAGCTTCAGATCTCTGGATTTAAGAAATCATTTCTTGAAGGATGTGTAATAAGCAAAGCAGTTATTCTAAAGCATGGTTATCATTTCCAGGTGAAAGACGCTTGATAGTATGCTATTTCTCCCTACATTTTAGGGGATGGCTGCAACTTACTTATGTCTGTGTTGAAAACCTTTGTGTTATGGTAGGAACACATCTGCTTGGTAGCACTGCGTTAAATGGCAGAGAGAAAACGTGTGGCAACAAGGCTGTCCTACATTCCCCCTACTGTTCTATAATCATGTTACAACTAAAGGAACCTAAGAGGTTCTAAAAGTAAACTTCAGCTTGACATTAAAGTTTAATTAAGACTTGTAGAAGAGCTGCCTAGAAATAGACATTTATAAAATATTCTGGCTTGGAACCAAAGCATTAGTCACTGAACACCTTTGGGAAAGAAGTTGGCACTTAGACAAGCAACAGAAGGTGAAAGCACTGCATAAACAGCTAGGTTCCAAGACAACAGCAAATTAAAGAGAAACACAATGTTCACATTTCAGCAGCTAGACTCCTGGTTTATTTTCCATTTTTAAGCTATTTTGCTACATTACCATAATTATGATTCTACTTCCTTTTTTTACATACATCTTACCGTATCTTGATTCATTAACAAGGTGCCATCGGGAAGATACCCACCAGCTTTTTATGTGAGACATAATAAAGGACCAGGTGCACATCTGGAAGTGCGACAAGACTGAACCAGAGCTTTCCCCGGGAACCATAGTTCATTCTTCATTAAAACATGCATAATGCAGACTTGAAATTTACAAAGCAGCCTAGAATCCACATAATTTAAACAAATGAAAGTACTGTGTACATACAGAATCATAACTTAATAAGTGAAAGAGGAAAAATAGAAAAATGATGTATTTCAATAGTACGCTCTGTTTTTTCCTGAGTGAATGATATTGTTTTATTTTGCAAGAAATGCTCCCCAGAGTCTTAGCCTAATGAATGCAGTTTGTCTCGATAAAATGAATTAATGCTTTGTTACTAACTTGTTTTTAATCAAGATGCTGAGACCAAATATAACATAAACTGATGTGTACTTGTGTCAAGGTACCTGCAGTAAGTCAATAGGCCCGAGTAAAATGTTACCTTCTTTTCTCTTTACTATTGACTTGAGGAAAAAAGAAAGCATTAGAAATTTCTCATTAATACACCAGTTACCTGACATCTAGAAAGGCTTTATTAAATACAGGCAAACTCACTGAGGTCCAGAGGAGCACAGCCAAAGAACATGAACTGGAAGACTGAACTAGTATTAGCATGTGTCAGTGTATAAAGCATATAACTCATCGTCCCCAAGCTCTGACATTAGTGAGGAAATTATTCCTATCACCTCCACTTTCAAAATGAAGGATTTGTTAGATTTGCTGTTTTGGGGTACCAGTTTAGTGGCAGATGTTGTTCATAGGTCACTGTCTTGCAACAGTGATTTCCTTTCTTAGCTACTAACAGAACCCCAGGTTATTCAGGTAGAACTCCCCCGATAACACAGAAGACAAGGT